ATGCTTGTTTGTCGAGTATTGGAGTCGCTGGATTTGATGTCGAGCAGGTGGATGATGATTGCTGGTAGCAAGCATGTCACTCCCGTGTTGGGCAGATAACGAATCAGGTCGTGCGAGTACAAGTCTTTGTACATGTCGGTGATGTCGTTGGCGGCCTCTCGTACTTTGCGTCTTGATAGTTCTTGAAGCTCAGGAGCAACCACAACATTGGGGGTTGACGGGAGGATTTGAGGTCGGTGTAAGGCGCTGATAGCAGTCAGGTGAACGCCACTGAGGAGTGCACGATGCAGATTAATCACTTCTCCGTCGTTGGTGGTGAGACGCTCACGGCTGCCAGGGGCGAAGTAATGAAGTTCGTGAGGAAGTTCCTTGTACCAAGCATCCAACTCCTGGTCACACCGAATCACATCACAGGCGTCGGCAGCAGACTTTTTTGGGATCAATCTCATGGTCGTCTCTTGAGTCGCGCCAATTTTGTGGCCCAGAGTGGAGTACTGGACTGTCAGAACCCGGCTGATACAGAGGCACAACTTTGCAAGCCCAATACACATTTTGGCAAGTGTGGTGCGCTTGGAACTGTCCTTGACTGCAGGACATCCACCCAGCATCCGTGTCAGATTTGCTGGAAGTGCATTCGTCTCAAAATCCGAGACTTCAAGCATAGGCACATCAGATTCGGTGTGATTGATTCTCATGGGTCGACGCATTCCAATGGCGATCAGTCTATCTCGCATAAAGCACGACCACCAGATCCGTTTCCAGAGACAGCGTTTTTTGGCGCTCATCAAGGTTGCCCCAGACGTGTCACAGTTGAGCCCAATGGTACGGGCAACAGAGATGGCCACACCGAGCCAGTGCCAGACGTCCTTGGGGTCATCGGGGTTTTCGTACCAGTATGTCATCAACAGGACGCTCTGGACCACGGTGACACGGTCCACTTCGTAATCGAAATCATACAGAAGCTTGACCTTTTGAAAGAAAGCCTTTCTCGCCGCCTTTCTAGTGACGTAGCCTTGTGCGACCAGATAGCGCATATCGATATATGCAGTGGCAGCAAACATGACGGCTTGAAAGAGGAGGAGACTGACTGTGTCAGTGGATTGGTTTTTCTCAATCGTTGTCAACAGATCCTCCAAGTCCACGAGAGGCAGATATGGATGGACATATTGGACGTAGCATCTGAGCAGCTCGTTCCGAAAGCCGGTGTCGGGGATGATGAAGGCACCTTTCCTTTGAAGGTACTCAAGATCCTCGGTCATGATTCTTGGGGAAATGGGGTGGATGAAATGTGGCAGAACGATTTCAGGACGACTAGGAGCATGTGGGAAGTATTGGGATCCGCACTGCAGTTGTAGAGAAGGGGACTGGAGAGCTTTGGTCGAGATCTCGGAGATGCGACGAGAGCGTTCCTCTGGGCTGAGACGATGGCCCTGGGTTTGGTCTGTGGCCAGATGTCAGGATCCTAGAAGATCCGAAAACAAAAGGGATTCGGACTTACATAGCATGTGTGGCTTGTGGTGCAACATATCGAATTCCAGAGCATTGGTTGCGTTGTTATAGGACGCAGCGGTGGCATCTGGTACCGCTGGCTGTTGTGATAGATCTTGAAACCCATCGATATCGTCGAACAAGGGGAACTGAGGAATCTCCTTTTCTTCCTCGATAGAATTGCAGGGAGATTGATGAAACATGTCGCCGTCGGCATATGACTTTCGTCGCCTCTTGCCCTCGGTGACTATACATTCGACCTCGTCAAGCCGGCAGTTTGTGCAAGGAATGCCACTCTCAACTACGTCGCATCTCACCTTTCGAGAGCGACAACAGTGGCAGGCTTTTGAGGCTCTACGCTTGACGGTTCTCCCGCTTGAGGGCAAGCCAGCGGCCGAGGCTTTCCTTTTGGCCTGGCCTGGAGCAGATGAAGTAGCAGCAGTGGGAGCCATGGTGGTGAGGGAGTGCACTTCGGTTGGAGAACTGAAGTGATGTGTGTATGTATGTGTGCAGATACAGGACAGGACTGTGGACTAGCTATCTCGACAACACCAGGGGTATAGGCCACGGGGGAAACAAGGAGAAGGTCGAGAAGAACAGGTCGAGGGGCAAAAGAAATTGGGGAGGGCATACTGGGGAGATATGGAAAACAGACACGGGCGTGGGTCTCCCCAAGTCGACCCTGGTTTCTCGATCGTCAAAGAATGGCGCGACAAGGCCAGCCAGTCACCAGAGGAATCCGGGCATACCCCAGACTACCCCAGTAAAGACAAGCAGGACATTTTGGGCATGGTAGATGGGTCCAAGCTTGTGGATTAAGGTTAGGAGCCATGCTGTGACGATCAACCAAGGTATTGGGCTGGAGATTATGCATCAAGCATACGGAGTAATAATATCGAGAGAGATCCCTGACATTTCCAAGGCGCCCGAAATTTGGAGAAGGGGAGTCGACTCAAAAGTTTGGCCTTTTTTTTTTTCCACGCTCAGCCTCGACTGATTTGCCAGTACGACGGTGTGATGATGATTGTATTTTGATAGATTTGAGAGTTGGGAGTTGGGGAGACTCTGAGGCCCCATGCATTATTCCAAGTTTGTTTTTCTCTATGGGTCTGGGTCTGGGTCAAAGGTCTAGTTTCATGTCCATGAGGGGCTATGGAGGTTGTGCAGCAGGCAGTTTGTCTTGGTTGGATTGGCGTCAGGACTGCGGAGCGAGCCCCAGCGGCGGGTCTGGGTCGCTTGTGCCGAATTATCCAGGACGCTATGAGAGCTTGAGAGAAGCGACACAAAACAGATGCCCCTCGTCTCCTGGGTAGAGAGTTATTTCGGACCCGAAGCCGTTCGACGCTGATCGAGTCGACTCGGAATCGTGGCCGACAGCTGCATGAACCCCAACAAGGACCCTGACAAGGACCCTAACAATGAGATTTAAGATGGGACAAACCGGAGTGAGAATCGAACATTTTGGGTGAAGAAAGGGCAAATGTGCCGGTGGACGAGGCCCATTGGCGTGGAAGGAGTGATTATGCCCCGCAACCTGGGGCATGCAGGCACGTCTCGAGAAAAATTCAGCGGGGTTGCAGCTTACGATCCTGGTTTTCGAGATGGTGGCTCTGGTCACGCAGCATATCAGGAAAGGGACATGGGGTTGGCGCCGCTTGGCGGCCGAAGAGGGCCGATGCAATAGCCAATAACACATTGGGGCGTAATTTCGAGAAGACAAAGGCCAATCACAGGCACGCCGCTCAACAAAAGTGGACATCCGTTCGACCGGGGCAAGTCCGCAGCATCCACGGGACCTGGAGTTCAGCATGACTTTGTCACTCTTGTTCACTGTGTGGCTTTGGATGCACCAAGAATGTGGGCGTAATGCGGAGGGAAAAGTGGAGGGCTTGCGACACATCACCCGCAAACGGTCTCAGGAGTACAGTGTATAGACGATTCTGCAGGGGGAGAGTCAGTGCTTCCTGACTCTGACTCTCTTAGGCCTGACTCGATCAACACCCTGCCGATTTGACTCGTCATCGTTGACTCACCGCACCATTTGTCAATGGATCTTTGAGTTCCGTCAGCAAATATACAGTCATTCACACTGACCTACCATGCCCATACAAGGCTTTTGGTTGTACGGATACAAAACAAGCCCATGATCAGCCCAACAGCCTTTACCAAAGATCTGGCGTGATGTCGTGGTCAGTGCCGGGCGCCAGCGATATTAAGTAATGCATTATGTCCACCCGAGAAGCCATTGACTTTTATCCCGTAGCCAGCCTGAATTTAACCTTTCTTGTCAATCCTGGTCTGGGCATCTGTGGTTACGGAGGAGGTACCTGGTAACTTGCACTACCGTGGTAATAGCTACCTGATGCATCTCCATTTGTGGCAGAACTACGAGTAGCGAGTACGCACAGTCTGCACCAATTGACATCTTCATCTCCGCCCTGGACAGCAACTAGTTCCGTCACTCTTCCATGGAGATTGACACTACCCGGAGTTTTTGGATTTTTCTGTCCGTTGTTCACTGGTACATGATGCAACTGTCTATCATCGAGGATGTGCAATAGGTGACTTGCCTATGTACAGTAGTACTTGGTCCTTATCTCAATTTCGATATTTCAATATCCCATTGCTAGATTCGCCAAATGTCTAAACACTGAACCCTTGGGCTATGCTAGAAGTCGAGTCTTTGGCCTGCATTCAACCCGGGCCTCGTGACCATTCAAATTTGGGAGCCCACGAGCCTCTATTGTGCACAGGAACTAAGCACACGTGTCCTAGCAGGCCTAGGCATGCATGCAGCCTTCAGCTCCTGCCACGCCTAGTACTGTACGGTTAAGTGCTCCTGCTTCTCTTCTTTCCCCCCTACCCCACCTCCCCACGTCTCTACGCACATGAGCTCTCACTACCAATTTTGACATTGGGGCAGTGGGGATGGGACTGTCCTCATGCGGGGAACCAACAAGCAGTGGTGGTGGGTGAATGGCATGAGTGGTTACCTGAGGTAATTGCAAGTAATCTGGCTGGAACAGTGGCACAAATTGCTTAATGCCGAGAAAAGAGAGCCCAGATGAAGTGCCATGAGAGCCTAGAACCTTGGGCTACCACCTTCATCACCCTCGTCCTCTGCTCTTAGACTCAAAAGGTCCAGTAGAGTGGCCTCAATGACACCATGGTCAACATCAAATACAACATTCATGATGTTTATACCCGGGGCAGACCCATGTATATTGATGACTGAATGTCAGGTTCGTGGATGACAAGTCGTGGGGGGATCGACGCCACAATCGAGTGAGGCTTGAAAGGTAAGGTAACTATCGAGGGGAATTGAGGCTGACAAAATGTTTAACCGAAGCTCTGCCTGTGCCCGCTCTTGTGCCTCGTCTCGCGCCAAACAGCGGAGCCCAGTGACATCGCATTGCGAAAGTTTCCGCCGCGCGTCCTCTAAAAGCAGACGTTCATCTATGTATCCAAGACTATAAGCGAACGAAGCCTTCTCAGTTGCATCTCATGTTGCCATGGAGGAATCTGCAACTCCATCCCAAGGCTCAAGTGCAGCCCCGACCGCCCCGACCGACGAGGAAGAGAGAAAAGCTGCAGTTCTCATCCAGGTGGGTCGGCATCAGCTGCCCAAGGGCTAGTCCAACAGCTGATCACGAACAGAAAACCTTTCGAGGCCACCGCACGAGGCACCAGGTGCGAGGCTTTGGGCTAGATGCTTCTACCAGGTGGTACGATGTCAGTCTTCCTAAGGACATGCAATGCCACTCGTCTCCAGACTGATTGTTGGACAGGCGGTCAAAAGCGCAAGATATCGCCAGGTCACAACACCTCGTCCGCCAGAACATAATCACAACCACGACCACGACCACGAGCAAGAGGAGAACCGCCTGAATGACCCCATATCCCCTGCAAGACGGAAATGGCGCATGGCCGCCGAGATTGCTCGACAGGCAGGCGCCGATGATACCTCTCCTTCAGTATCCGATTTTTCTTCTGACGATGCTGGAGACTCCAAGCCCGGTTCGGGGGCTACCGATGGATCCTCCAAACCTGCGCTTGATCGTGAAGCAATCAAGAGACGACGCGCTGAAGCAACCGAAGCTAGAAAGAGAACGGCCAAGATGATGGATCTCCAATATTTCCTCGAGATGGTGGACCAGAAACACCGCTACGGCAGCAACTTGCGGAAATATCACAGTTACTGGAAGACGGCAGACACAGACGAAAACTTCTTCTACTGGTTAGATTACGGCGGGGGCAAGGACATCGAGGTTCCTGAGTGCAGCCGGGCCCGCCTGAACAAGGAACAAGTGCGCTATCTCTCTCGAGAAGAGCGGCTCGACTATCTGGTCAAGATCGACAAGGATGGTCGCTTAATCTGGGCAAAGAACGGCGAGCGAGTATGGACAAAGGATGCATTATACAAGGACAGTGTGAATGGAATCGTCTCCATCACTGACCCATCACCCCAATTTAAATACAATGTTCCGCCGCCAGATACCGATGATGAGTTAACCTCTTCCTCTTCAGAAGATTCCGAGGAGGAGAGTGACAATGACAGCGCTGACAACACCGCTGGCGACGAAGGTGAAAGGTATGTCAACGAAGACTTCCATCGGGCAAGGGGCATCGCCAAGATGAAGCATGTGAGTGCCGCGGTCCTCTTCAACCACATGATCCGCACGTCGCTCAAAAAGGGCCACAAATGGATTTTCGTGGCAGACACATCTTTCCGTTTGTATATCGGATACAAACAATCGGGTTCATTTCAGCACTCTTCCTTCTTGCACGGCGCCCGCATATTATCCGCCGGACTGATCAAAGTCAAGGACGGTCAACTGAGGAAGTTGTCGCCTCTAAGTGGGCATTACCGTCCGCCTGCAGCCAATTTCCGGGCGTTTGTCCACGCACTCCGCGATGAGGGTGTGGACATGTCTCGAGTTTCCATCTCCAGGAGCTATGCCGTCTTGGTCGGTCTGGAAAGCTATGTGCATACACGAAGACGCGTTAAGCACACGGAGAAGATGGCCATTCGCAAAAAGGACGAATTGCTGCACCCGGAGAAGGTTCAACAAGAGGAAGAAGCCAGCAGGGACAAGTCGAAGAGCGCTGAGAAGGAACGTGTCTTCCTTGAGCAACAGCGGCTTGCCAAAGAACAGGAAGAGTTAGAGCGCAAGGAATCGCATAGGAGAAGCGGGATCTTCTCTCGTGCGTTACAGAAGATGAAAACGAGGCGGAAAAGCGACAAAATAGAGGACTCCGCGATTACAGCAGAACCCAAGGAGAAACGTATTATGGGCACAGGACCAGAAGATGGTATACCTGCGCCTGAGGGCCAGCGGTGACATTATACCATTGTGCCATTGATGTAAAGTTATGGTAATAGGACTGACTAATGATACCCAGCGGAGCCTCTCTCCCCCCCTGCTTCAGCAAATGCCATGTAACTACATGCGGACTACACACTTTGAGAACCCAGACAGACAGGGCATAACCAATTTGGGACCAGACTCCATGTTCACTGAGCTCCAAAACAGAATACTTACAGCAATTCTGAGTTTCAAGGAGTGAGTGACTAAGTGACAAACCAGAAGAAAATACTTGGATTGACTCTCTCGTAGACGTTGATATGGCAAGGATACCCTCATTTAAGAGCTTTTGGGTGATGTCAAGGTCCAGGGAAGCCCGCAATAAAAGTTGGCAGCTCCCTGGCAATGGCGAGGATTAAAGTTGTCAGTGATGGAAGGGTGGAACCCAATGCACGCAATGACAACCGACGGAACGCCTTCTGGGCAAAACGTGCGTTGCCGATCGCCCAACGATCCCTGCAACGGCCACCAACAACCACGCGTCCTTACCGGCTTGTTCTATGCTCCACAGGCAACATGGAGGGCGTGGAGGGGCAGTTGCAACCGGGGGAGCAAGCTGTTGTGAGTCTCCGTGGCTGGTGAACCGTGGCTTCCATGCCTATAACGATCCCCAAGGCCTCAACCTTCCAACCCTAACTTCACTAGCGATCGAACGGCTGTCGAGTCGTTCAATTGTAAACATCTGCGTCTGCATGATGCCTTGCATTACCCAGACGGCATCGAAGCGAAACTGGTACCTACCTACCTAGGTAGGTAGGTAGGTACTGAATAGTCATGCGCACAACATGCACACAATCAACAACTCCTAGCATCATCCAGGATCTATCTACTTAGTTGACTGAAATACACAAGCACATATCCATGATCAAAGTGCTGATGATGGATTTTCCACAATAAATTCACCTTTCTTGCTCCACAAAGACATCATCATTACAGGCCTCCAACCAAGAAGCAACGCAGATCGGCAAAGTCTGGGATTCTAGGCGTGCAGGCCCCTCGGCCCCAAAAAAGAGCCCTGATCCCCCAGTACTCGTACCTTCCCAAAACCGGTTCTGGTTGCACCTTCCCACTCTTCCCCTCCACACTGCGGCAACACTGCGGCAGGTGCGGCGGTGCGTGGCACTCGTGGTTCGCGTTGAAGGTCAAGCCACATCGCCAAAAGTCTCGGTCGACGTCTCGCTACTCCACTCAATCCATCATCCTTCTGCAACGATCCCCGAACCCTGCATCATTCGCTTCGCACTTTTCGTCAGATCCATTTCTGCAATTCCGCAAGAGTAGAACAATGGTCTTCCTCACAGTTCTGCCGTAATTGCAACAAAAATTGGTGGACAGACCATCTTGCAATGACCAGCTTGCTCACCAGACTCTAGCTAACGTGTCCACAGGTCAGACTTATCATTTCCTCAACACGAACTTCGATCATAGCCTGACATTTCTGGGGTATCCCCCTGGTTCGACTGAGACATGGTTCTCCTAGTCGACATTTCCCAGTTTCCCATTCCCATTCGCGATTGTCCATTCTGACTTCGATCTCTGATCGAGATTGGCTGCTACGCCTGCTATCACCCTGGCTCATTCCTCTTTTTCTCTCATCCTCATTCGACGGCTCAACTCCCTTTTCTCAAGCATTCTGCCACATGTCGATTCTCACTCCTCCATCACTCCTCTCTGACGCAATGTCCTCGACTGAATTCAAACACGGGTCAGCCACAATGAGGCACCAGCTCTTCTGGCCAACAGAGCAAGCTCCTCTGTGGCCTCCTCCACAACTCTGGAAATGATAGACGGTGACGTCGTCTGTTTTTTTACAATCCTCTAGATATTATATTCATCCCTCGCATCGACGCGTCTTCCTCTCTCTTGCTCCCCATGTCCATCCTACCATAACAAACCCCCCAATTGAATTGTCCCATTATTTCAAACTCGAAATCACAGTCTATTCTACTCCTCCGCTGCCCAGTGCCCCCTCATGATCTTGTATTTGTGACCAGCTGATGACAAACAACCGTCTTTCATCGGCCTCATACGCATATTATTCTTTTCCCCCAACGCCCAGTCGCGATTCTCCCGTCTCTTCTTCCAAAGACCCCTCACCAGAAACAGTCGAAAGCGAAGACGGCATCATGCCATCTCCAGCAGCTGGAAGGTCATCCAACCTCCCAGAGACGCCTACCAAGAGCGGCAAGAGTCCTGCTTCCTCCAGTACTTCTAAACTTACAGGAAAGGATGCTCCAAAGTCCATCAGTGCTTCGGGGAGGAAACCACCCAAACTAGGTGCTTCCAAGGCTACCCCCAAGAAGCCCTCCGACTCGCCCAGTCTTCCCAGTCGGCCTAAGGTCGAGGACGACGCAAAGGAGAAGGCGAGTGACTTGGAATCTGAATCTGAACAGAAGATCGACCTCAAGGACACTGAGGAGACCGGTGGCAAGGTCAGCCAACCCGGTCACGACACCGGTGCCGAAAGCACTTCGGTTGCCGACACCAGTGAGCTCTCTGAGGCCAACCCAGAGCCTGTCCCCGACAGTGACGAAGAAGAAGAAGACACCCCTGGTAAGCCTGCTGCCAAAGATGAGGGTACCGACGAAGAGACCGAGACGGAAGCTGCCGCCGAGACCGAGGACGCCGCCGAAGAAGCCGAAGACGAGGCTGAAGGTAAGGGGTCTGGAGCTCTCGGCGGTATCACTGGTGGCGCCAAGAAGATTGCCGGAAGAGCGGGTGGTGCGAAGGATACCGCAACCGGAGCCGTAGGCAAGGCATCTAAGGGAGATGTCGCAGGCGCAGCTCAAGACACTGGAGCGGACGTCAAAGGTGCTGCCGAAGACACTGGCAAAGATGTTAAAGAAACAGCCGAAGACGCCACGGATGATGTGCCCAAGGATGCCGACGATCTTCCTGATGCCGACGAGGCAGCAGAAGGCGTTAAGGACACCGCCAAAGATGCCACCGACAAAGTCCAAGACACTGCTGAAGACGCCAAGGACACAGCCGAAGATGCTGCAGATGATGTCAAAGGAAAGGCAGAAGATGCAAAGGGCGACGTCGAAGACAAAGTTGAAGATGCCACGGATCAATTGCCTGACCTATCTATCCTGAAGGGCCTCAAGGTCTCGGAAAATGGAGATATCCTCGACAAGAGTGGCAATGCCATTGGCAAGCTCGAGGAAGGCGACCCTGCCGACCTCGAAGGCTACGAGATTGGTGATGACGGAGAAATTCTCGACGAAGATGGCGATGTCGTTGGCCGAGCAAATATACTTCCCGATGAGGCCAAAGACCTCGCAGAGGGCGCCGAAGACGCAGTTGACGACGTGAAAGACGCTGCTGAGGATGCCAATGACCAAGCACAAGACGCCGTCGAGACCTACCTCCCTGACCTGAATGTCCTTGAAGGCCTCGAAGCTCAAGAGAATGGAGATATACTCGACAAGGATGGCAACGTCCTAGGTAGAATCACCGAGGGTGATCCTGCTGATTTGGTTGGCATGACACTCAATGCCGAAGGAGAAATCCTTGACGAGGATGGTGACGTCGTCGGTCGCGCTGAGACCTTACCCCAGGAAGTCAAAGACACAGCTGAAGATGCTGCTGGCCAACTGCCTGGCCTGGATGCCCTTGAGGGCCTCAAAGTCTCTGATGACGGTGCCATTAAAGATGATCAAGGCAACGTCCTAGGCAAGATTACCGAAGGAGACCCAGCTGACCTGGTTGGTCTACCATTGAATGCCGAGGGCGAAGTCCTTGACGAAGACGGAGACGTCATCGGCCGCGCAGAGGTTGTCCCCGAAGCTGCGGATGCCCTCGGAGACGCTGCTGACGCTGCTAAACCTGATATCGTCCAGGAAGCATTGGACAAAGTCGAAGACATTCAAGATCAATTGAAACCCGATCTGACCATTGTTGATGGCCGCAAACTTAACAAGAAGGGCAACATCATCGACGACGAGGGTGAAGTCCTCGCCAAACTCGTCGAAGGCGATCCCAAGGCCTGCGCTGGGAAAATCCCCAATGAGAATGGAGAGATCCTCGACCAAGATGGAAATGTCATTGGTCGTGTTGAGGTCGTCGAAGGTGAAGCTGCCGAGGAGGCCATGAGAGAACTCAATCCCGAACTTGTCCAACAGCTTGAGGAAGCTCAAGATGCGGTGGAAGAGGCTGAGAAGCAGGCCGAAGAGGCAGCCGATGAAGCTGAAGATGCCGCTGATGAGGCCAAGGAAGCCGCTGAAGATGCGGAGAAATCTGCCGAGAAGGCTGCGGAGCCTCTCTTCTCTCAGCTCGAGGGACTCAAGGTCAACAAAAAAGGCGAAGTCCTCAACGAAGATGGTGACCCCATCGCCCGTCTCTCTGAAGGCTTCAACTTGGATGACGTCAGGGGTAAAAAGATTAATGAAAATGGTGAAATCCTTGACAACGAGGGTAATGTCATTGGCAAGGTTGAATTCATCCCTGAAGCTATCGAAGAAGGTCTTGTGGAGGTGGAAGAGGCCGCTGCGGACACTCTTGACACATCCATTCTAGAGGGTCTCAAGGTCAACAAGAAAGGCCTCGTCCTCGATGAAGAAGGCGACGAGATCGCTCATCTTGTCGAGGGCGACCTCTCTGCCGTTGCTGGCAAGAAGTTGAATGACAAAGGAGAAATCCTCGATAAAGATGGCAATGTCATCGGCAAGGTTGAGTTGACACAGCAGCAAGCTGAGGATGAAGCCGCCGAAGAAGAAGAAGAAGATGATGAGCTACCTCCTCTCTCAATCCTCGAAGGCCTCAAGGTCAACAAATCAGGCAAGGTTGTCGACCGCGATGGCAACGTCGTGGGTGAGCTCATCGAAGGCGATGCCAAGAAGATCTGGAAGGCTGGTGCTCAAGCTGACGACGAAGGTCAATTCTGGGACAGCAAAGGTCATATTATCGGTCGTGCAAAGACCCTTCCTCGAGAGGATGCTGAAGGCGAAGCAGAATTTGCTGGCTTGGAAGGACTTACCGTCGTCGCCGATGGCTGGATCGAGGATGAAAACGGAAACCGTGTCGGTAAAATCATAGAAGGCGATGCCAAGAAGCTCGTCGGTCGTGCCGTTGATGAGGACGGTGATATCATTGACAAGAAGGGTAATGTCGTCGGCCATGCTGAGCGTTATGAAGAGCCAGAAGCCGAAGCAGAACCCGAGCCTGAGGCAGCTGACCTCTCTGAGCTGAAAGGCTTGAAGGTTAACAAGCAAGGAAATGTCATCGGTCCTGATGGTGTACCAATCGGTCGCCTCGTCGAAGGCAATGCCAAGGAGCTTGCCGGTCGTCGTGTTGATGAGAACGGCCAGGTATGGAATGATCGTGGTGAAGTCGTGGGACGAGTAGAGCTCATCCCAGCCAACGAACGTGAAGCTAAGCCAGAAGGACCGTTTGGCGGTCTAGAAGGCCTCATCGTCGTCAAAGACGCGTTGGTCGAGGATCACGAAGGCAACGTGGTTGGCAAAGTCGTTGAGGGCGATGCCAAGAAGTTAATTGGCCGCGGTGTCGACGAAGACGGAGACATTATCGACAAATATGGCAACGTCAAGGGTCATGCTGAACCATATGAAATTCCAGAGGAAGAGGTTCAAGAGGCCGATCTTTCAAGTCTTGCCGGCAAGACCGTGAACAAGCAAGGCAAGATCGTTGACGAACATGGCACCATATTTGGTGAAGTTGCCGATGGTGAACTGAAACACCTCGTCGGCAAGAAGGTTGACGGTAAAGGACAAATCTGGAGCAATGATGGCAAGGTGATCGGCCATGCCCGACTCATTGAAGGAGGAGATGATGGAAAGGCCGAGGGGCCTTTCTCGAATTTCGAGTCCACCACTGTCACCAAGGACGGTCTCGTCAAGGATGCGGGCGATCAGATCGTCGGCCGTGTCGTCGAAGGCGAGGTCAAGAAGCTTGTCGGACGCAAGGTCGACGACGATGGGGACATCGTCGATAAGAATGGCAACGTCATTGGTAAGGCAGAGCGCTGGGAACCAGAAGAAAAGGAGCGCGAGGTGTCGCCGATGGCGGGCCTCCGTATCAATAGAGAAGGAGAAGTTCGTGACAAGAATGGCGACATCATTGGCCGACTCACCGATGGTAACTTGCTTGCTTGTATCGGCAAGGAGATTAATGACAACGGATACGTCGTCGACCAGGATGGCAACAAGATTGGCGAGGTCACTCTGCTCGAAAACATCCCCGAGGAGGAGGCCGAGGAAGAAACCACTCCTGAAGAGCTGAAGGCCGAAGAAGAAAGAGAAATTGCCAAAAAGATCTCCAACATTATCAACCAAACGTTGGAGAAGATGGAACCTATTTGCAAGCAAATCACAGAGGTAAGTTGTGATTATACTCCGTTGCTCAAAGCCCCATGCTAATCATTCCTTCCAGCATATTGAAAAGGCTGACCGAACTCCTCGTGACGAACTCGACGAAGAGAAACTTGTGGAGAACGTCAAGCCTCTAATCGAAGAAGGTGGCCGCATCCTAGGCGAATGCAACGGTGCCATCCGCGGACTCGATCCTGATGGCCACATCGCTGCTCAAGCCAAGGCTCGTGCTGCCTCGGGTGAAGCTTCACCTGAGGAACATAGAGTGGCCGAGGGCTTGAAGGAGTTGACCAGCCAGATTGTCAAGACCATTGACAACGCGAAGAAGAGAATCGCAGACATGCCCCACGCAAAGAAGAAGTTGAACCCTCTGTGGGGCTTGCTTACCGAGCCTTTGTTCCAGATCATCGCTGCTGTTGGGCTGCTTCTATCTGGTGTTTTGGGTCTAGTGGGCAAGTTGCTCAATGCACTTGGCTTGGGAGGCTTAGTCAACGGCATTCTCGGAGGATTGGGTGTTGATAAACTGCTTGGTGGCTTAGGATTGGGAAGCATTGCTGACAGTCTAGGCCTGGGCGGCGGCAAAAAGAAGAAATAGCTAATCCGCGACTGGCTTCGCAAGGTCCTCGTCGGGGACACGTGGGACGAAAATGAGGATGACAGTAAGGACAATGACGGTCGCAACATGGAAGTCTTTTTGCGACGCGTCGAGGATGTCATGAAACGAAATGTCCATGTCCAGGGTTCACGTCGGCTACTACAATCACCGTCATCACCAGATCTACTCCCAAACCTCACATCATTACAGCCGCGTCTGCGGCAACCTTTCTGGACTCGGGATAAGGATGGACACCAAAACCTCGAATCATATGCAAAGGGAGGCAGCAGTCGCCGTGAAGCAGATGGCGAGGCCCCTAGGACAAGGGTTTCATTTCTGTGGCCTCTTGTGTATTATACCACTTTGAGTATTTGGGGAGTTTTAGTACTGGGCTATGTGTTTGTCTTTGCAGGTTATCTTTACCATGGCTTTAATTGATAGTATGAGGACACAGGTGAGATGGTCATTCAGCCATCGTGGGATAATAGCGATCAAATGTTGTTTAGGTAAATAGGACTTTTGAAATAAAAGCTTTTCGTTATGGACTTGACTGATAGTAATTTACCTTGTAGTTATTGTTGTGCATCCATAGCCTTATTACATTGGTCCTGGCGCCGACAATAGTAGAGTCGGCCTTGTCCTAACCCGGCCCTTGAAACTGTCCGGTAGGTTCCATCCACTGGTGCATCTTTTACAGCTTGGACGAAGCCTTGAGATAGCCGCCGGCGGCACTAAGAGACTTGATAGTTTCATCCATCATCTCCTTCACGATTTCACCCGCCGTTTGACCGGGCGTGTTGACCAGACCTGAGACCTGACCCATTGGCCTAGAAGTACGATGAACATGTTAGATGATGTTCTCTTTCTTCTTCAAAGCGAGAAAACCACGGATGAAATTGGATGAACCAAGTAAGTCCATGGTCATGGGTGCTGGTGCTGGTTCATGACTTACCTCAAAGTAGATTGATCCTCGATCTCCTCCGTGAGTCGGTTCTCCTTTTCCAAGACCTCCATTTCATGGTAAAGAGGGATAATACCCTTTGATTGCAAATCTTTAATCTCCTGAGCTCGCTCCGTCTCCCAATGACGGACATATGGAGTTGCAAGAGCTCGCAACGGTCTACCGGTCCAAATGGTGGACTTGATAGTGGAGTCGAAATTGGCTTCGACGATACTGAACAACTCGTTTATTAGCAACTATATTCGAAACTCATGGGGGATAGGGAATATGGGAATGAGATCCTTACGCCTTCTTCGCAACTTCTGGTGCTCCAGACTCTTTAGCTGTCACGAATCGAGTGCCCACCCAGACGGCGCTAGCGCCTAGCATCAAAGCAGCGGCAATGCCTCGGCCATCGTAGATTCCGCCGGCGGCGACAACGACGACGGGCTTGCCGGTTAATGGAGAGGTGTATTTCTTGCAGATGTCTGCAACGGCGGGAATGAGGACGCTGAATCAAGGTTTGATTAGAACTCGTCTTGTGCTCTCCGCGTTCACATGTGTTGAAGGTTGGAGCTTGTTTACCTAGTCGCAATATCTCCTGTGTGGCCACCAGCCTCGCCTCCCTGAGCGACGACAATATCGGCTCCTGCTTGACATACCTTGTGGGCATGTTTAGGGTGTCCAATCATGTTAGCATACAGGATGCCATGCTTGTGTAGTTTGTCGATGATATGTTTCGGTGCAACGCCGACGGCGGAAACAAAGACTTTGGCCTTTTCTTCGATGATGATGTCCACTAATTGGTCCAATGTGCCTTTTGTGTAGTCGAGCTGAGAAGATCAAAAGTAGTTAGAAACGAAGGTTCATGATCCTGAGATGACAATTGACAGTCGTGACATACATTAGTTTTCCGAGCGTTGCCGCCGACTTGTGGGATCAGTAGGTCAACGCCAAATGGTAGAGATGGATCGGTCAGGGTTTCCTGGTCCACATTGTCAGTGCTGGGTCCATGATCATGACTTATGCCTGCATGAATGTGTATGCTCACTTTCAGTTCTTTGATCATGTCTCTTAACATTTGTGGAGTGTATCCAACGCCTCCAATGACGCCGAGACCTCCAGCATTAGAAACAGCCGCAGCGAGAGGTGCTCCTGAGGTCTGGCCCATTCCTGCGAGCAGGATGGGATGCTGGATGCCCAGCAATTGGGTTGCGGTCGTTGTCACCGACATGTTGATGTCTCTTGACAAAAGAACGAACGTTCAACGGGAATATACAATCCAAACAACCGGCCTGGTCTCTTGTTGACTTGTAGTTGGCACTGATTTTCGACTGCCTTTTCAAATAGTAAGCACTGCTTTAAGTTGGTTCACTTCGCTTCTTTAGGTGAAAGTTGAAGTTTCTGTGATTCGCTGATAGTGAATCACGGCACACGAGCAGTTTCAGTTGTCAGCAAGAATAATGAGAACATGGGAATATCGTTTTATTCTATGGGATTGAGGCCCTGATCCTTGGGGATTCCCAAAAAGCGGAGGCTTGACTCGGTTGTCAGCATTGCAACAACCCAATTTTGCCGAGGTTGGGTGATAGTACTCCGTAGTGATGAACATGGAGGTTTGGACCCAACTACGCGGACTCGGCGCGTTGTCACTTGTAGAACTCGGCGGGTTGAGAAGGATTGCCCCACATGGACGATTGACGATCTGCCAGGCTTACAGTTATTCTTGTTGGTGAGGCCAGGACTCAGGTTGCATGGGAGATGTGAGCAGCCTCCGAGCTGACCTGTAAGCCCAACTCGTAGGCTAAGGAGCTCCAAGTACACCTAGGAATGGCGATTGTACCACTCATCGGAACGTATGTATAGACATGCATTTGTGGTTCGTGGTTATCGGTATCGGTATCATACACTGCAAGGGTTGAAAAGAACAGTCCATTCTTGCAGTCAACTCAGGAACCTTTTGGTGATCAGGTTAAGTCTCTGTCGCCGTCACAAGCGCCACTGGAAACAGAATAATTACATAAGCAGAGGCAAATCGTGCGACTCGAGACTTTTTGAGCTGAAGGCTGATCTCGCAGCTTGAATAATGGACAACGTTCATGCCAGTGTATCACTGGTGACCAAGACATCATGACATTCTAAGGTCATATGATTATCAAGAAATCGGCGTACACACAATGCACTTAAGCGACATTATCCTCCTTTCGCAAGAAGATACCGAGCGAGCAACCACCGACATTGCCGCAATTGTCCAGTCTTTCTCATTGACAAGCCCCCTTGGGGCTCTTAGATACGGCAGAATACCTCTGGCCGAGCTAAAGCAATGGATCACGAAAGGTGTCAGGGCTGATCTCGAGCATGAATCTCAATACCCCAGGATCACGCAACTTGGCACAGACGAATTCGGTTTAAATATCGAGCGATACGAGAGTCTTGTCATCGAGGATCTAGATCTCCAGCCACTATCAAGCCCAGTAGACCAGCAACTTGCACCAAATCATGGTCAAATTGTTGCTCATGCATCGTTCCTCTATCATCCGTCGAATGAAAAGAGGCAAAGCAGTGACAAGATAGGGAAAGAACCAGCTATCTCATCAGAAGCCAACCAAACAAACGACCTTCCATCATCTGGCCATGGTGAACTACACAGATATTGGAATCAGGCAGTCGAGACGGCACTAGAGAGTGAATTCGGAGATCTACACTGTTTCGAAGTACGGGAATTGAGCGTACTCGCCCCTAGCCATTGGCGTAAGGGAATCGCCAGCACGCTTCTTACCTGGATCTTCCCATTCGCCGATAGGATTGGAGTTCCCGTTGTGCTTGCTGCAACGCCTGCTGGATATCCGCTTTATCTCAAGCATGGATTCGTGCAGGTTAGCGGTAAGAATGGAATTGTTGAGTGCGACATGGCCCAATGGGGAGGTTCAGGAATCCATCGACATGTGCTCATGAGTCGAGCTCCAGCAAAGCAAGAGTAGGAATACCCTGAGTGACATGAGGATCTCGGAATCCGGGCGGATCAAAGTATCGGATGGAAGGAAGGCGTGTTTGGCAACAATCATAGGTGGGAGGAGTGAAAACGATGTCACTGGCGCCTCGTGGACACTATCGGATACATCTCCCACCCTCGGTGTATCATGCCCCATTAAGTCGACCATTCACAGCTTCGCGAGAGGATGTCATCATTTTTTGGAGGCGTTTCCAGTGTTCGCTGACCATCGACACATCTGGGTTGGTTCTAGAAACATCGAGGTACAAAACCAGCGAGTGGCGGCTGCTGCTGACTTTCTTGCATTAAAGGATTTGTTGTTGAAAAGAACGATAAGGCTCAAGGTAATAATGTGGCCTTATGTGAGATGCTCAACAAAAATGGATGCGTACTTGTTTATCATTGGATAGCATGACAATGAATGACGCTTAGAAGATCCTGTGAGACAAGAGCACGTGTGGTCAAAATAAAGCTGCACGAAAGAATGTCGCCATCATCTGATGTCGATTGTCTGCGAGGTAGATCTAGAGGACACTACCGTCTTTTTGAGTACCAGAAGACAATTCAACAGTACCATTACAGCGTTGCCTATCCCTTCTCGGTATTGCAAGATCACTGGCTCAACGATGGCTACCGACCATCTAAGCCGAGGCCAAATACGAAGAACGAGCGGAACGAAGTACGAGACAGGGTCCTACAGCCCAGTTCTCGCCCACAGTCTCACAGTCTCCTGGCGGCCGACACCCAACATCTTAAAGTTGCGGCTCCCCCCGTTCAAGTGTCAGATGCGCTTCGGAGCTCCAGACCCGACATGACTCGCCTCTTTTCCCTGTTGCGCCCGTTTACCCCAGCGGTTTTGAGGCCAGGCTTGGCCATTGTTATGGGTTTCTGAGGAGACTGAACCACAAGAGCCAACGAGTGACACACAAGGTGATTGCTGATCTTATCTCTCGTGCCTCTCTACCTTGCTGTACCATGCATGAATTCCTCGCTGTAACATCGACCACCAATGTTTACAGGGGGCGAAGTGGTGGGAATTCCCGAATGTTCATGGCAGCTCGGGAAAAACTCGACGTGTGGTGTGGAATGACCGAAGGAAGCCGCACTCGGACCCTTAAGGTACCCCTGGATTCTAGTCTGATTCTAGCGCAGGCACTGTAGCATTTGGACCAATTATGACTCTATACTACTGTCTTGGCGGCTACTAAATCATGTCCATCCCCATGGAATTCGCCCTAGTGACGTGTGCTTCCCCAACAAATTTGACTCAATGACTTGCCGATTGATGACCATCTCCAAAATCTGGCCTGATCGACTGTGGTGAGAGACTTTGGCTGTACGAGAGAAAAATGAACGGTGAGTTGGCCAGAAGTGTCATCCTTAGCAACGAATGAGAATATGCTCCATTCAAGAACCTAGGCACCAGGTCTTCTGTCAAGAGACACCCTTGGGTATTTTTTTTCACTGCGATTCGCTCCGTGTTGTGACCGTCAGTGCCTCCGCCTGCTGCCTTCCCCACAATTCGACCTCAACATATCTCAAACGCTGGTCCAGCTCGCCCCTTCATATATCAGGGCTGCCTTGACGTTCCAAATATCTTTTCTTCATCCTTCCATCCATCTCATCCAAGTCCCTCGGCGTTCCTGTTGATCTGTATCACGTTTCAACATGCCTTCCTCCCAACCCACTGCCGGCCACCTGGCCGTCAAGCCTGAATTTCAATCCTCCCAACCCTCTCCAATGGCGAAACCCACCGAGCCCAACCGAAACGCCGCCTATGACCCCAAGAAGGTCCATATCACCGAGACCCCAATGACACGGTCAAACTGGTACAAGCACGTCAACTGGCTCAACGTCTACCTCATCGTTGGAATTCCTCTCTATGGCTGTGTCCAAGCCTTCTGGGTCCCACTCCAAGCAAAGACTGCCATCTGGGCTGTTTTGTACTATTTCGCCACCGGTTTGGGCATCACCGCCGGCTATCACAGATTGTGGGCACATACCTCTTACTCAGCTACTCTCCCTCTCCGAGTCTTCCTCGCTGCCGTCGGTGGTGGTGCCGTCGAAGGATCGATCAGATGGTGGGCCAGAGACCACCGAGCTCATCATCGTTATACCGACACTGAAAAAGATCCTTACTCCGTTCGAAAGGGTCTCTTATACTCCCATTTCGGGTGGATGCTGATGAAGCAAAACCCTAAGCGCATTGGACGAACTGACATCTCCGATCTCAACGAGGATCCTGTCGTCATCTGGCAACACAAGAACTATCTCAAGGTTGTCCTTTTCATGGGTCTAGTCCTGCCAACCATTGTTGCCGGTCTTGCATGGGGTGATTGGTGGGGTGGCTTCGTCTATGCTGGAATCCTTCGAATCTTCTTCGTCCAACAAGCCACCTTCTGCGTCAACTCCTTGGCCCATTGGCTTGGAGACCAGCCCTTTGACGACCGCAACTCTCCTCGTGACCACGTCATCACTGCATTGGTCACTCTGGGTGAAGGATATCACAACTTCCACCATGAGTTTCCCTCGGACTACCGCAATGCCATCGAATGGCACCAGTATGACCCCACGAAGTGGTCCATTTGGGTCTGGAAGCAACTCGGTCTCGCATATGACCTGAAACAATTCCGCAGCAACGAGATTGAAAAGGGTCGTCTCCAGCAGCTGCAAAAGAAGCTCGACCAGAAGCGTGCCAAACTTGATTGGGGTATTCCCCTTGATCAACTCCCCGTCATGGAGTGGGATGACTTTGTCGACCAAGCCAAGAATGGACGCGGCCTTGTTGCCATTGCTGGTATTGTTCATGACGTGACTGATTTCATCAAGGATCATCCTGGTGGAAAGGCCATGATCAACTCAGCCCTTGGCAAAGATGCCACTGCCATGTTCAACGGTGGTGTTTATATGCACAGTAACGCTGCCCACAACCTGCTGTCGACCATGAGAGTGGGCGTCATTCGTGGTGGCTGTGAAGTCGAGATCTGGAAACGGTCACAACAGGAAGCAAAGGGAGAGGTGCCCCGAGACAGCTCAGGTGAGCGGATTGTGAGGGCTGGCTATCAGCCAACCAAAGTCCTCCAAAATGTCACCACAGCTGGTGCGGCATAGAGGCTGAAGAGACGACACGAAACTGAATGTTATATACTAGCGACCTGTATTTCGTTTGGCGTTTGGGTTACGACAAACAAGGCTGGACTCACACCGCACGTTCACACCTAATTCGAGCAGGCGGCGTGTTCCAGAAGAAATTGATTATTTACAAAGTAGACATCACTCTCAATGACAAAGAGCTTCGATGATTGCTGCAGAGCACCCATATACCCAAGATGAAATGAATGAAAATTGCCATGCTCTAATCCAAACCCGAATACTTGTAATCAGCCGATGAGCTGGCAAACCCCCGAGATCGGACAGATCGTATTGATGGTTACCATGGACCAATGCTTTTGTAGTCTAGTAGAAGTTCATGTCCAGGTGAATGCATAATATCGCAAAACAAGAATATGCAACTGGGAGGCGCAAAGCCTCCCACCCCTCCCCAATTGTGGTGCCTATTGGGTTCTCATGGTCCCTGCCTGCTGTGCCTGGAGCCCCTCGGCCCATCGCCTCGGGCCCCTTGCCCCGCCAATTATGCCAAAGCTCGGCGTCCGCAGTGCCCAGACCTGGCAAGACCATCGTTCGGCCGACTCCTACCGGATTTCTAATTGCGCCGACCATGAAATGCATCCAAACGCATCCATCACCTTCCAGCGCTTCCTTGCCCTGGGATGGCACAGCAGCACCTAGCCGGCGCTTCTTTACAACTTCACCTGCCCGTCGAGGTCGCAGTCGTGTTCTCCTTTCCTATCCAAGTGATGATCTGAAGCCCTGGTTTGTTGCTCCTTGTTTGTTGTCACCCGCTGTCCTACCATCGACCCCACCCCTCGATGCTCTCTGTCACATTCGCATCCGCCTAAGCGTTCCATTCAACTTGTAGTCTTTCCACACCCATCAAATACCTCTATCTCCTTCTCATCATAGGCAACCATGTCGCTCCGTGATATGGGCAATGAACATTTCAAGGCCGGCATGTACAAGGAAGCCGAGCAACTATACACTCAAGCGTAGGTTAACATTGCTAGACGAGCATATCCTCCCCGCCTCTCGTCTCATCTCGCTCACTGTCTCGATAGAATTGCAGAGCATTCTCGTTCCGACCCCAAAGTCTTCTCTAATCGATCCCTCACTCGCATAAAACTGCAAGACTGGCCCGGCGCCGAGTCAGACGCTCGCAAGGCCATTGAACTCTACGGCACCAAAAATGCGACCACTGCCATGAAATCCCACTATTACCTTGCCCAGGCCCTTCTACAACAGCGACATACTGCCGAAGCTTTGGTCCAGGCAAAATATGCATATTCAGTCTGTCTTGAAAATAAGGACTCAAGCGCCGAGTTGATCAGTCAGTTCATCCTGAAGGCAAAACAGGCGGCATGGAAGGCCAGGGAGGATGCGCGCTTGCGAGATATGAATGAAACACTAGCTCTGGTGGAAGATCTCCTCAACCAGCAGTTGAAGAGAGACCTGGCTGCCGTGGAAGAAAGATTTCAGCAGGGAGAAATCGGCGAGACAGGCCGGAATGAAGAGCGAGCGGAATTAGAGGAAGAAGCAGAGAACAGGAGAGCAAACATTCGGAGGGGCTTTCAGGATCCCGCCAATCCTGATACAACAGAACGGGTATGTATAAGACCGTCGACATTTCATCTATCCATCTCCTTGCTCATGCTTCTCTCTTAGGTTGTTCCTGATTGGTTGATTGATCCCATCACGTTCGAAATCATGCATGATCCTATCGTCACGCCTACTGGTGTCTCATACGAACGTGTCAGTCTTCTAAAGCATATCAAAGCTTCCGGATGTGATCCCATAACCCGTGCACCTCTTCGATCAGATCAATTGATTCCCAACGTCGCCTTAAAAAATGCCGCTTCCGAGTTTCTCGACAACAACGGCTGGGCCGTGGATTGGTGATTATCAACATTCGATTATCTTCTGCATGACATCGACGACCTTTCTTTCTTGGACCTATATTTACAACTCGGATCTACAGCGACCTTTGCAGCATACAGTTAGCATAGCAATGGCGTCAGGGTTTTGGGATTCAACCTGGGCAGGGCAATGAGCAAGCGCTGTGCCTGCCTCTTCCCGTGTGCTATGGCTTTCAAGAATCCCCTTTTTCCCAACTGGATACATCTTGGTACAGACAATACTCATTTGTCACTTATTGGATCGGCAACACTGTGCTCCAAGCTGGTGTCCATCTCAATGTCTCAGTCTAATACATGTATTCAACCTCAATGCCTCCATAGACCAGAATCAGAAGTATATGGACGTCAGGCATGGGTTGTCAAGTCACTCGATCAATCACGTGTACGGAGTAATTCTCAAAGCAAAAGAACCACGTGCCAATCCCCAGCACGTTCTTTGAGGGCAAGTACAGCCTCGGTGATTATTCTGGCCTACTTCCCAACAATGAAGTCAAGGCCCACAGGCTGTAGCCTCCGTGTCTCCCACGCCTCCCCTACGCCTAGCGTTGGTGACTGGGTGGGTGCCTTCCTGGCACAGAACGACGACCGCGTGACTACCTACTTACCCCTCCACGTGCCCTCCAAAACTCCCAGCCAAACATCATCCTCAACATGATTCGTTATTAACATCAAAAACGCCCCATGATGCGCCCGCTGCCCCGCCACGCCCGCCAAACTTCTGACATCAGAGAGCCTAAACTTGTTGAATTGGCAACTGGCAAGCTACTCCGTACTCACCAACTGAAACTGCGACTGTAACTGCAGCTACTACTACTAACTTACTGCATTGTACAAGCCCACCTAGCAGTGGACACGACGTTACGGGGTCACTCACTCTTGTGTTCTCCATCTGCGTAAACTAAACGAGAGATCTGCGTTGTGGTTGGAAAGACCTTTTATACTTACAAGCCTCCCTCTCACCTTTCCTCTCTCTACAAACAAATCTACCAATACATACTCCCAACCCTTGACCCCGAACCTGAACCTGACGCCGTGTGACATTGAGACACTCTAGCTGTGCCTCTCTCTCCTCAACGTCCCCCAACGTCCATTCCACCCACCGATCAGGTATGTCGACTCGTACTTGTTTGGCCATGAGGTCATTGGCCGTCTAGTCTGTGTGCTCAGCACCAGTCGTGGCAGCCTATATCGACTGCCTTGAATCTGAGCCGCAGAATCAGACAAGCCACTTCGCATGCAATATATAGTTCCCCTTCCGTATCACCATAGCTGACTCTGTTTTCGGCCCTGACTAGGTCTCTTCCTCTCTTACCGACGACATCTCCTCGCCCTGACTACCCCGCGCAATCTCAATCGCATCTACATTTGACATTCGAGACTTCGAACATAATCCCATCCTCCTCATCGCAGAATGCCTTCGGCCAAATTCACACAGGCCGCCAACGAGAGCCGTCAGCTCAAGGCCAAGCCATCCAATGACGAGTTGCTTGAAGTGAGTTCCGAATACACTACCTTCTACACCAAATAGAACCAGGCCCATAATCCAGAAAGAATCCATGTTGGGGGGTGCTATTGAGTCAATCACATCTGCAAAGCCTGCATGTGCAGTACACACCGTTTCTTTTGTCAAGAGCATTTAGGGTGTTTCTCTTGCTTGGGTTTTCTGATCTACACGATGATAGTCTCTATGATATCTCCATGTGCTGACAGCAGTCTTCTCAGCTCTATGCTCTCTTCAAGATCGCCAATGGTGAAGACATCACCAAAGCTCCTGCACCAGGTGTGTTTGATCTCAAGGTATGTCTCTCCCTCTCTCTCTCTTTCTTTCTCTCTCTCTCTCTCTCTCCCGCCCTCTCTCCTCCTTTTGGGTTTCTAGCCACCTAGTCCAATGTCTAACTCGGCGAACAGGGCAAAGCCAAGCACAAGGCGTGGCAGAAGGAAGTCGACGCTGGAACGTCCGCCGAGACCGCCGAAACTCGCTATATTGCTTTGATTGCCAAACTCAAGGAGAAGTATGGCTTTGATGCCTCCAAGGCTCCTGAGCCAGTGGGAGGAAACTGAGGACATTTATGACGCGGAAGTGATACAGGTGCCTTAATGAACCACTCAATTGGCGGCTTATGTACCTGTGATTCGACTCCTCCAGATGTCTATAGTCAATCGTCTGCATAGCGAATGTGCCCGATGTTTCTGCCTCTCTCTGGTTTTATTGTGAGCTACTTAGATGATGGATGCGAAGCTCGTTGTCCACTCTGGGCAAGTCTACGCCATCAGACACCATTCAAAGACTTGATTTTCTTGTATCGAGGCGTCTTGCTTCATACATCAGCGCGTCAGTCAACCTCACCGTATGAAGTCTCTTGGCCAACGTCTACCATGACGATCGAGGCTGTCTTCGGGTCCATTCGGCGACCATGGCAGCCCTGAGGGTGGGTATGCAGTAAGAGGCAAGTCGTAGGGTATTCGCAGACCGATGATGGTTGAGGGAGGCGTCTGCCCGAGTGTGGATGTTGGGTTTGTATTGGAGCTGAGGTGGAAAGGAAGCTCCGGCCAGGGAGGATTATCGCTGCCAAACACGGGAATCATGCTGGCAGTCTTGCCTTTGGAGTCGCCGAGGTTGCTGAATTCCACGTTCGCTCCCAACGTTGATGGCGGCAAGCCCTGAGCCTCGTCATCGTCAAGGCTCTCCGTAAACAACTCTGGCCAGACCAACACGCCAATCTCAAAACTCTTCACGACTATCTGTCCTTCCTTCTCTTGCAGGCTTCCCCACGCCTGTGTCGATAGGTTTGCGCTCGTCAAAAGTGCCCAATCAATCTCCGGTGCTGCTGTTTCCTTGGATGGTCGAGACCGGAATTGTACGTAGGTCTTGATGTGGGGCGCCGCTTCATGTCTCCAAGCTCGAAAGGCAGGATTAGGTCCACGAGCCCATTGACACCAGGACGTGCGAAGAAGTTCGATCTGTTTGAAATGCGCCGGTGATTGGGCTTTTGTATGAATGGAACGACCAGACGCATACCCATCCAAGGAAGTTGCAACATTGACCGGAGTGGGATAGATGATTGATGTTTGCCTGAGAAATCGTGCAGGGCTCCCTGTCAAAGCGGTCAATGATCTAGAAGATCTAGGCTCCAACACTGCGGCAAGGAAGCGTTCGAGCCATTTCGGAGAAAGTGTGGCAATGGAAGAAACTTGCATAACGAGGTGCGAGGTTGACTTGGATGATGGATGCTCCAAGTCAGGGTGTGAGATTGACCGGAGAGCACGAGCTAGGGATGGATATCCCCACAAGTCCTTTTGCAAGTCGACCTGACTATCCGCTACCGACTCTGGCATCTTTGTTGGAACGGAAGCGATAAGTGCTCCACGTACGGCTCTGAAGTCGAAAGCCAGGAGTTGTTCCCTGAGATTTCTGGTCTTAGATCCGTAGAAGAAGAGATATGCTAGAATATCGTGCTTGAACCGGGTGCCCGAACCAATTTTACCAATCTGTGGGGGTGTGGTGGCCTCGGTCTTTGGTAGCTTTGGAGATTTCCAAACCGCTTGTGTCATGTTAGTCCAGTCTTGAGCAAGCATATTTGCAGTATGGATGATGATCTGCGCATGGTCATCATGCGTGAACAGAACAAACATCTTACTGTGGTGAGTTCCGAATGGGTCAGGGAGATATGCTGTAAGAGCTTCGACATTGGGCCACCTTCGACAAGCATCCTCAATTCCAATTCTATTGTCGTCTTCTCTTCTCCATGATCCATGGACGATCTTGACCTTGACCATAGATCTGATGTCAGGATCAAAGTGGTCCATGAGCCAGTCAACATCGAAACAAAAGTTGAATACCCAAGCCTCCCGGATAAGAGGATCCCCCAGGATGTCGCTGAGACCAATCGTGTCCACATTTTGAGATCCCGGAAGATCACGTATGGTTGTCAACTTGAACGGAGAACTGATAAACTTGACACCTGTTGAGGATGGGACGTCCTGAACGGTCTGGGCCGCCATTGGACGGGGTATTGGCTGGTGGGGAGACTGTTTGACCTCAGACGAGCCTCTAGCGGCATTGGAAGGCTCTTCTTCGGACACACTCGTTGAGCGTTGTATTTTAGGTGGAGAGATGGACCTCGAGATTGAGTCGAGGAAGGTTGAACGATTTTTGCGAATCGAGGCCGCATCAGGCATGGTACCTGATGTTGAATTGCTCTGTCGACCAAGAACCGGACTGGCGGCCCGCTTCTGCCTCTTTGAGGGACGCGAATCCATGCTGAGATGTTGAGATGACCTGTAGATCGTCGCGTCTCGACAGTGTCAATCTTTCGAAAGTAGGGTGCGCTCGCCTTGACATGAGACAGACACCAGCCACGGCAAGGGCGATGCAACTTAATTGTGCCTTCCACTTGCGAGATCGTGGAACCACGTGATATGATATGCTTTGGGATTGTGTCGAGTCCAAATCACAACGTCACCGGAACACAATTCTCACGTCGCTCCATCTCATTGAGTTCGCAGAACTCCAAGCCTCTTCATTTTATTCTTGAGCCTCCTAGGGATTGAAATGAACAAGAACGTGAGGTTAAACAATAACGAATCGGATATATTTTCCGTCATGAACCGAAGCCTTGGCATATATGTTTCTAGAACTCTCGGAACTATTCAAGATGTACATATAATAATCCTTGCCCCTGGCCAAATATTTCCCATTGCAGACTTCAAACCGACCAGCTCGAGATTCTAAGGGCGTACAGCAGCCTGATCCCAAATTTTGATCCATTCAAATGGACGATAGGCAATATCTAAGGCATTAATGTCATACTCTTGAGCCTGAAAGTCAAGATAGGCACGCCGTAGCGGGGAATCATCTTGATCAAGGAGTGGGAAAGTCTGGTATTCTGGAGCGGAGAACTGGAACATTAGTCTCTCTATTCTATATTGCGTTTTCATCAGTCGTGTGTTCCAATTCTATTGATAGTACTCGATGATGAATTCGTCCAAATGCTTGCTAAACAGGGAAAGAATGCCCATATTTCCCACGGTTGTCCACACTAAAGATCAACAAAGCCATAGTGTGTCTGACAAACAATCCCAACAGCCCACACGAAGTCTGCATCAACAAGAGTTCTCTTGTCAGCTGGTCCTCTCGCATCGGACCACGCCATACAAGCCACAGGTTGATGATTGTCAGGTTACTCGTCGCGATGATGCGGTTCGTCTTTGGGTCGACCGTGACTTGTAACAGTCGGAATTTTTCCAAGATCAGGAAGATGGCCGTAAGAGATTTCGAAGGGGGCCGTTCCGGAGGCCATGGTGTGACACTTGGCTCAAGTAGGCCTGTTCGAGCGTTGAATTTTGGGAGACGGTGGCGTGGGCAGGGAATGATTTTGAAGAGTTGGGGCACACTGTAGATAAAGTTGATAATTTGTGGAATGAGAAGGAGAAGCAACGTCTTGGAGAAGTGGGCCATGATTGCTACCACCGCAAAAGTCATCCCAGCCACGTAGCAATAGGTGTCGCCCACAAAAACACGCGCGGGGTATCGGTTGTGAATGTAGAGTGCTAGTGAGACAGCGAGGAAAGGGAGGAGGACGTAGAGCGTCAGCAGGTGCGAATCGGTGGCTGGGTGGCGGCGGTCGGAGTAGACACTGTTGAGGACTGGATTGCCAGGGAAAGGTACCAGGTATAAACACGAGTTGACGATCAAAAGACCAGCAACCACGATCGATTGCCCAACCTCAATCCCGTTGATACCCGCCAAGATGTTGATTGAATTTGGAGCGAAGATAGAAAGTGCCGACATGTAGAGGTAGTAGAAGAACGAAAGGTGGATGAGTCTTGCTTGGTTAGGCATATATGGCACCAGGAAATTCGGCACCACAACTGAGGTGACGCCAAAGTCAACATAGTAGACGATGAGAAGCGGAAGTGATGCAATGGCGGGAATGAAGAACTTGTGGCGCCACCGAAGGTCGAGTATGTCATCCGCCATGCCTAGGATTGTTGTTGCTTGGAGGGTATTTAGAGCGGACTGATAGGAAGATAGCTTCGAATGCGGAAATCGATGAAGAAATCGGCCGGTTTCTACCTCAGTCACGGAAAGGACGACATCGCGGTTGCCGCCTCCGGAGGTTGCCGCCACGATATCCTTGTAGAAAGCAAAAGGGATAAAAGCCATTAGTGCCAGGATATAGACAGCTGCAGCGACCGCTCCAAGTGCTTCTGGGCTGGGGACGCAGTCATTATACTGTCAGAAAGTGTAGCAGACTCGACCAACTCACATTTCAACTGGTCGGACTTTACTCATGTCCTTTCCCTTCAACCCAGCCTTTGCGAACGAAGGGCCTGACCACCGAATGAAAGCATATGTCATCGAAAATGCCAAAGTCGAAAAGGCAATCGATGCCACAAGTGGAGCGCCATCGCCATTAAATGTTTTTGATATCACAGCGATCGATGCTCCAGTGGTAAGGAGCAGCGACCACCTCTCGGCATGACTCAGGCTTGCGGACATGGCGATGTGGTTGAAAGGGAGAGAATGAATTCGTTTGTGCAAAGAAAAGATTCTTTAAGCATCTTGGAAAACCTTCTCACACGGCCACTGTCGACTAGCGGGCCGGTCGAGAGACACTGACTTTCATTCTCATAACAGACCGGAGATCCGAGTGAAGCTAGTGACCTTTAGCTTTCCTAGATATCTGGACTAAATGATGCCATGAAATGTATCCACGAACCGCCAGGCTGTCCTCTGTGAATAGGCTTGGCACGTGAGTGCACGTGGTTGTCGTCACGTTCGGAGGATCATTTTTCCGATGCAGCTTTCAGCCTTTCCGTATTCACCAATCACCGCTCACTCTGTTTCAACCTCGTCCATCAACCTTACATGTTGATCAACCCATTAGAGCTCTTCAGTATCTACAAACAGCCAAATATGCACAGTCAAAATAGTGCTTATACTACATCAATGTCATCTTAACGCTTTTGGTCGAGGAAATCTCACATGATGGAGTAGCGTTGCCTGAAACTGGGCATCTAGCGATATCTACATTCATGATCCATTCATATCGAGTTCGCGATTCATGACGACAACAAAATGCACAAGCCAAGCGAGTTCAACCCTGGTCATCATGATCGAGTCACAGTGCTAGCAACCAATTTCAACGGCGCGCGAATCCTTACAGCATCGATTGACCACCGGATCAAAGTCTGGTCACGGGACCCCAAGACAGGAACTCGTACCCTTGTCGACACCTTTACAGCGCATGATTCCGACATTCGAGACGCCAAGTTCCTGCATCCTACCGTTGGTTCATACATTGGCAGTATCGGTAATGATCTGAAATTCCACTTGTGGCAGGAAGATGTTGCCGCGCCATATAATTCCGGGCGACGATTTCGACGCGTCACCACCATCCCAAGCACGCCCAGGGTTCCATTTGTCAGTCTCGATGTCAAGACTGTAGACAATGTGTACACGTTTCTGGCTTTGATCGACAGGCAGGGTCTACTCAGCATCTATGAGCCTAGTTCTCCAGACGAATTCAAGGATTGGACGTTGATTGACCAGTTCAACGTCTGCGGCACAAATCCGCCTCAGAGAGGCGACGAGACAAGTTTTAAGGTCCGCTTTGATCAGAACGTAACACCCTTGGCCTATGTGAACTCCCTCAGCGACGATCGCAATCAGCTGTCACTCGTCGTGTCCGCGCTGAATGAGATCAAGGTCTACCGATCTGTGGTGCCATCCGGTGAGGGAGACTCAGGTGATGGAGCAAGTCACCGAATGATGTTTTATGAGGTTAAAAGCATCAAACATCCAGTCTTGGTGCGAGATGTGGCATGGGCGCCATTCAGTGTTAGGGGAACTGATCGGATTGCAACAGCAGCCAAAGATGGCTCGGTGAGGATATTCGAATTGGCAGTTTCCGCCGCACCAGACGTCTCCAATGGGCAGAACCCAGCAAACACCTCCGCCACACAGTCCACTACAAAGCTTTCAACTCAAACTCCCCGACAGCAGCCACAGTCAAGCCTCACATCAGCCATAACAGGGCGAGCTCAGACACAATCCCAATCACAGTTTCATGCACACTCACACTCGACGTCTGGTTCCACGGGACCTAGTCAAGCCAGCTATCCTACTGGCACCACATCACGAGTCGTACGTCCAGGCGATCCTTTTCCATTCCTTACATCCATCCAGAGTGTCTCGGAATTGAGCCATGCACATCCTGATGCGTGGTCTGTGACCTTTGACTCTCAAGGTCAGGTCTTATTAACCAACGGCTCTGATAGAATGACCAAGATATGGCGAAAGAGCGTCCTTGGAGGACAATGGCTGGTCTTTGCAGGCCAACAGATTACCGAAAGTGATGACGATGACAGCGACGAGGAAGATGAGGACAGTGATGGTAATGACAAGGATAGGGACGGGTCATGAAACTTAGTGATTAGAATACTCAAAGGCCAAAGATTTAAACCACACTGAAAGACTAGGACAGGGCTTGCGTTTGCTGTCCCTATGCTCGAAGAAAAGCCGTACGGCGGATGAAAGATGCTATATGTGCGTATAGGCTCTGCAAAAACTAGGTATTTCTGACCTCATCATAATTTCACTGCATTACAACACAATTTGATTGAGACATTTCAAGGGCTGATCGCCTGTTTTGATGAGGTATGAATGGCTCTGCTCTCGACAGATTGCAGGTAGGCCTGAAAGAACCCGGTGGGAGTCTCTTCTGGTGGTGACACTACAGATCTTCCTCACGGACCAAAAATCCGTGTCCACGCCTCTTGGTATTGAACCAAGATACACTGACATCATAGTGATATCGCCATCGAATTCTGCGAAAGCGAAGATGTGCATACCCACTACGCTTATAAACCAAGATGAAAATGGATTCAACAATTCATTGTCATCTCAAAAACATAGTCCCCTTTCCCTCTCCCTGTTCTCTACATTTTGAATGAGGTTTGCCTTTTTTGAATAGAACCGAGTTCAAGTCAGGTCTGCAGAATGGTCGAAAAGGTGATCCAGCTAAAATGCTCATGCAACAATTATCCATGGGGCAAGAAAGGGCGCGAGTCGCTGGCAGCACGGCTATGCGAGAAGACCAACCCTGACTTTCGCATCGACAATGACAAAGACTATGCTGAGATGTGGATGGGCACATACCCAGAGCTACCGTCGTATTCACTATCGACAGGTCAAGATCTACAAGAGATAATCAACGCCCACCAAGAGGCATTAGTCGGAAAGTCGGTTCTCGACAAATTCGGACCCGACCTCCCGTTTCTACCCAAAATTCTGTCCATCGCCAAAGCACTCCCGCTTCAGATCCATCCAAATATTGAACTCGCGACCAAGCTCCATGAACAAGACCCAGACAAGTTCACCGACACCAACCACAAGCCAGAGATTGCTGTGGCCTTGACCAAATTCGAAGCCTTTGTCGGATTCAAGAATCTCAAAGATATCGAAACACTATTCCAACGACTCGAGCCGTTGAAACAATTCATCCCCACTACCGATGGAGATAAAGGACCCTCTTCTTTCAGCGACACAACCCTCAAATCACTATGTCGAAATCTCCTCTTCGCATCACCCGACACAGTAGCCTCAACCCTGAAATCTCTTCGATCAACACCGCGATCCGAGCTAGGATCACACAGCTACATCAGCGACCTAATACCACGACTCAACGAACAGTACAGCAACCAAGACAACGGAATTTTGGTCGCCCTACTAACGATGAACTACCTGGTGTTAGAACCCGGCTCGGCTCTATATATTCCCGCCGATGGGATCCACGCCTATCTCTCCGGTGAGATTGTCGAATGCATGGCACGCAGCAACAATGTTCTCAACACAGGATTCTGCCCTCGCGCTGATCGCGATAACATCGATTTATTCGTTGAGACTCTATCTTTCAAGCAGCATGATCCCAGCGAACCGATTTTGAAGAGGCAGAAATCTCAAAAAGGTCAGAATGGCTTGACATATGTCTTTACTCCGCCGATGGCGGAGTTTAATATGCTAGTCTCGGAGATTCCTGCCGGTGAGGCCGAGGTTGTTTCGCCAATCTATGGGCCCAGTCTTCTGGTGGTTACTCAGGGCTGTGGTTCTTTGGAGGTTGAGTCGAGGGAGTTGGATTTGTCGGAAGGCGCTATCTTTTTCGTCGGTCAAGGGGTAGAGATTAAGATCCGGGCTACCGAGGAGGTGAAGGTATATAGAGCTTATGTTGAGTGAAGTGGATTAGACGATAGAGTTTATTTCAGAATTATCCAGACTCTTAATGAGCTACCACTCTACAGCTATGTGTATTGCGTAGACGCATTGACGTTATCATGGTAGTATGGTACATTTGGATGTTCAGTAACACGAGGCGTGATTCTCTATCAAGACATGTATTTCATCCCTGAAAATATGGACTTGTCACAAGCGTGCTATCACGCTTGAAAAGACGACCTCCTCGTCGAGTCTTCTTAGGCGTCTCGTGGGTTTCTAAACCACCGTCATCGGCCTCTGTGGGAGTCTTCTGATTTCGGCGAGAACTCCTCGTGCTAGGCGTTGGTTCAGACTGGGACTTTTGCTTCAATCTCGCCTGGGCGGATCTACGTGTCGAAGAACGAGGAACATAGTCATCTTCAGTGCCGGTGTCGAGGCTTCCCTCTGATGACATGTTGCTAAGTTCTTCCGAATCTGAGTCGACAACCATTGATGCCCTCTGCGTCGACCGCTTGGGAATTACCTTCGGGATAGTCACTTCGATTCTGGCTTTCTGCTGGCTTCGATTTGGTGGTTTGATGTTCGAGGCCACTGAACGAGCATCAGAATCGTCGTCACTTTCCTCATCTTTCAAGTCACTAGCACTGGCCGATAACTCTGTAAGATTACTCTCACTAGTCTCGGCTTCTTGGAGAAGAGATTTTCGTTGTCTTCTTACTGCAGGCTTGATTTGGGAGATACTGGACGGCGTGGGGTACTGAGTTGTTGCCCTTTCCTTGCCTTTTAATGCTTTGGCTGGCGGAGGTTCTTCATGATGGACCATTTCCAAGTCTTCGGGAATTTGGGGCTCCTCGTCGTCTAGCAAGAAACCTCCACCGAAATCGTCATCATGTTGAGGTGAATGCCCTCTGTTTTCATCATCCTCATCATCGTCCAGAGCAATGGGCCGATCTCTGCTGAAGCCGGTCATAACCTCAGGTACCCCAGCGTCACCATATGTGTCTTGGACCTTTTCTCGAATTCTCAAGCCCATGACAAATTTCCGCCAAAGTTCCAATACCAACTTTTCCATCTTTGTTTCTTCCTTCTTTCTTTGTTGTTCGTTGAATTCTCGCCAGGCATCCTTCAACAACTTTTCGTTCTCTTTGGCCACCACCACTCCGGTGCAGACCGGAACTGCTCGCTTGTTCCCAAATTCGAATCCTGTGACTGCCTCGGCGAAATCGATGTCCAATCTTTTGCAGAGTCGGACCGTGCCTCTGAGTGGCACATGAACGGCACCTCTGGGAACCATGCTAGGAACAAAACAATCAATGTTTCCATATGCATTCTTGGGAATGACGCCATTTTCAATGGGTGGAGGGATGATGTATTCTGTTTGGTCCCATGAGTACAGGCCTTGCATTTGCTTTTGCCCAGTCACCCGCTCATGCTCTTCGGCCTCTCGCTTCCTGGTCAATGTGACGGCTCGAACAGGTACCAGCTTCATCGGTGCTTCGCCCGCGAGCGGTCTGCGTCCCTCCTTGTGCCATGATTCTGCAGTCAGGCACCTCTCGACATCGCTTCGACGATAGACAGGCTCTTCTTTGAGATTGTCGCCCTTTCCGGAGACAAAGGTTCTGACAGGCTCAGCATTGGGCCGAAGGGCTTCCTCTCGTCTAAGAAATCGTTCCAGAACAAAATCTGCCGAGCTTTTCAGGCTTTGTAGGGTATCAACATCCTCCTTGACATCCTTTTTAGGCGGTAGTTGAGGCACAAGGTCAGTAGTTTCCTCTATATCATCCACAGCAGTTCTCATGAGACCTGGGCGTCGATATCCGCTCATAACATGTTTGAACCAATCATAATCCTCGTATCTTTTCACTTTGCCATATTTATTGTATATGGGGATCTTCTCAATAGGAAACCGGAAGCCTTTGGTCTTGCCGGGCCAGATTCTGTTCTTCAGATATCGCACAGTCACGTCTTTGGCTGTGCCATCGGACGAGTATGCCACAACATACGCAATGATAGTTTTGGATTTCTCCGCCTTTGCACCGCGAGGCTCGAATGTATATAGAACATCCGGGTTTGATGCCACGGGAGAAGTTAGGACGAGAGGCGACACGGGCAGAACTTTGTTCGTGATTGGAGATATTGCTTCAGTCCAGTAAATTGGGAAGAAGACGTCTCGATCATACTTCTGGGGTCGTCTCTTTGGTATTGACGGAGTCACGTCAACGACAGAGTCATCGTCAGTGTCCAGATTGATTGGTGTTGCAGAAGCTGGCTTCTTTCCTCGCCGAGTGGCGGACACGGGTTTTGGCTTTGCGATTTCAGATATAGATTTTGAATCTTGTTCGTCCGAGTCATCGGAGGCGCTACTCGATTCTTCATAGTCGTTGGTTGTGGGGGCTCTTTTCGGCAACATTTGCTCGGCCTTTGTCCAACCAAAGCCACTAGGCTGAAGGCTTGCGACCAGTCTGGACTCGATGCCGAGACCTCTCAGCAAGGCTGTGAACAATTGAGCGCCGACGTCTCTTGACCCCTCACATCTTTTGGCCAATTGCCGAAATTCACCGAGATCTTTGATACGTTCACCGTGTTCTTCTGGGTCATGCTCATCGTTCCTAAAGGAATAGATGATCTGTTTCATGGACTGTTTGGTGCCATACCCTCGTTTTCTCAGGCCTGGAGCAGTAATGGCGAATCTCTTCTTCCAATAAGCAGCCAGAACTTTGAGCAAATGAATCAGAGGATCACCATTGCTCATGTCAGGCCTGCCCGGCTCCAGAAGCTGGCTTGGTCTTCCCCAGTCTCTTTCGTTTCTCGGATTGGACTTGTCCTGTCTCCGTCGCTTGCCATTTTTGTCCTTGGTTTCTTTGCTCTTGGAGCCTGGTATAGTGAGACCACTGGCTCTCTTCCATCTATCCACTTCCTTTTTGACCTGTGCAGGTAGTTGTTGAATTAACGTCTGCTGCACTGTTTGGTCGGATATCCATCTGTTTCGTATTGAGTTATGCCATAGAAGGAATTGGACGTGCATCTGATGGGTTCGGATGCGCGCTTCTTTCTCCCGTTTGGTTGGCCCTTTCTTGCCAGAGGTCGCGGTTGCAGCTGTGCCATAATCAATCTCCACGTCGTCTTTGCGAAAGACAAGCTCGATGGGACCATCTGCCAATGGTGTATGAACTGGGGCCTGTTCAGGCAGTGCTGCGCCTGCATCTTCCCACTCAATGTCGTCGTCATCTTCGCTTTCGTCATCTCCATTGACTTTGGATGTGCCTGATGGAGGAACAGAAGTTGTAGACTTGGTAAAGACAGGCGACACATCTTGGACTTCGTCGCTGTCAATTTCACTCAAAGAAGAGTCCGAATCGTCACTTCCAAGGGAAAAGGCTCTTTGGGATTGTAGAGAACGTCCATTCCTTGGTTGGGCATCGAGTACATCTGTGAGTCTCGGTTTCTTCGGAGGTGTCTGGTGAGAGACAGGTGGCGGGGTGTCATTCAGTCGCTTTCGCGGAAGGAAGGGCGGCATTGCGATGTCGATCGGAAAACAGACTCATTGTACAAAGCGCCAGAGTCAATAGAGGGATCGATATGTCTCACTAGGGGAAGCAATAGTGGTGACGAGAATGTAACGACCAGGGCGGATGAGTCTTAATTGAAGTGATGGTGACGTCGGTGATGTGTTAAGGATCAGCCTCGGGGAAAAGATTTTGGTAAGCGGGAGTGATTGGCGTGACGACGCAGGCAACATTGTGCCTGGCTGCTGTCCCCGCTCTGAGGGGCTGCATAAAGAAAAAAGGCAGCCCTACAGGGGCCTTGAGGCATGCAGCACATGTCCTAATTTAGGGGACTGCTTCAGCCTTATGGGGATACATTAATACACTTCCAGGCGAGGCCTGTGCCCTGGAAATTCATGTCTACGGAGTATTTCACGACTACCTACTTACGGAGTAGACAAGTCCAGTCTTTCCGCACGCCTTAATCACAGCACCGACTCGACCAAATCTCTGCAACATGAATGAGCCAGATAAACATGCAGCCTCATCAATATCGGCTCTTCATGGCCAACTCCAAACATATCATTGTCTGTGCAGTACTCTAATTCTTACCACATCTCACAACCTGGATGAATTATCATCAAGGGCTGAACCAGTGCAAGATGGTGCTCTGATTCTTCCACTCGGAGCACACCTGTCGACCTCGGATTTTGTTGATACAGATGGACATACAGGCGTCGACTCAGTCATGTCTAATGTGGTACCAGACCGCAAAGCAGTCATCATACGAAGGGAAGATGGATTTGAGAAGCGAATTATGTTTCGATGCTCGCGTTGCAAACTAGTATTGGGGTATCAATTGGACGAGTCACATTTTGAGACCAGCCAGCCGGTTTCAAGGCCAATCTATCTACTACCAGGAGGACTGATTGGGACGGAAAAGATGATCAAGGGAGAAAGACCTGAAATGCCTCCGTGGGCGGGACAGACAGTATAACAACTCAGACGAGAATCCATCATGCGACGTTCTCGGTGCTGACTCCGGTGGAAATCAAATGTGATTGTTCTGCAATGAGCATGTGCATGCTGCCCTATCAATCATACTTGTGTACGCCGAAACTGATCGAATTCGACCCAGAAAGCAGCCCGCAATGCTGTTGACCCAACAAACCCATATTCTCGTAACAACGTCGTGCATGTTGGCGAATCGACGTCAAAAATGCCATGTCAATTGGCAATGACAGTTCGCACCAAGTCCATGTAGTTGATCTCCCCACTGCTTGTGTCGACAGCTTTCAAGAGCTCGTCCACCTCCTCGTCACTCATCTTTTCACCCAGATTGGTCAAGATGTATCTCAGCTGTCCGACCCCTATGAAGCCCGTCATATCCTTGTCAAACACCTGAAAGCCACGACAGTATTCTTCGGGTTCGCCAGGGTCTCGGAAGCCGCCCGGTCGATTAAGGACTTTGCTGAATGAATCAAAATCAACTAGTGCAGGGTCAGTGTAACTGCCATTAAAGGTGTCTGCTGGTGTGGATGAATCTTACAATCACCTCCGACTGTCTTTTCCAAGTCTCTGATCTCGGCCAGGGTAGGGTTTTGTCCGCAGGCGCGCAGGAGGTCACCAAGGGAATCGAGGGCGACGCGGCCGGTGCCTCGTTTGTCATACAGGGAGAAGGCTTCCTTGTAATTTGTGGACGTCTGAGAATTGTGGACATTAGCCATGGTCAAGGTGAGAATGCGACGATGTATGTCGGAAATGGAGGGGTTGAAAGAAAAAAATGGATGGAGTTGGTAGAGGGTGAATGGTGAGAGATGGAAGAACGATGGTCAGGTGAAGGGCAAGCGGCAGGAGTTTGTTTGTTGCTGACGATCGTGATGGTGTCAGGCCCAGAACCACGGCTGCGCTGTGTTGGCTGGGGTTGGTGGGCGCGGTACAGCGGAAAATAACAAAGCTCAGGGCTGCTCGAGGGAGGCAGAATTGGATGATTCAGAGTTTGTACTTGTCGGGTGCACCCTCACTACCCTCTTCGCTCTTGCCCATTATTGCATTGTTGCTGTTGCCATTTGGCGTCTCCTCCCCTTGAGCCAGGCGCCTAGTTCCCGAGCACGAGAGGGGCGTGGACGAATGAGAATCAGCGTTGACTCACCATATTTGTTTGATAGACAGGATCGTGACTGGTGACCCAGGAAAACGTCTTGTGGTTGTCAAATGTCGGAGTTTTCGAGGTGAGAGTGAGGTGGTAAGTATGGAGAGAATCAGGTTGGGATTTCAGTCTAATGGAGTTTCTCCTTGAGTGAGATGCTGCATCTGTGTTGACACTTGAGTCGTTTGGGAATCCCAAGGTTGCCCCTTAATCGGGGAATCTGCTAGCCCAACTATTTCGTGCAGGCAAAGGCCGTCACCCAGCAACCATATTTTAGCCGGATGCGCCTTCCCCCATAACAAACCATGCTTATAAGTTAAAAATATAGGCGGGAACCTCTATCAATGAACGACGCGAGTTACATTCATCGCTACTCGGGAGCCTGTGAGCTTGTTCCTTCTATTCTGGCCCCATTCAAAAAAAAAATTGAACTTGGAACTTTGTCAGATCTGAGATCTCAGGTGAATGTCAGGGACCATGTCAGATATCATTCCTCCAGCACCTTTCTTTCTTTAACTTGCCTAGTGCTAAGCATGCCACCACACGAGGTTTGCAACAGATAAGACTTGTGGGACTAAGTGAAGCATATGCAGTATCCAGGACCACCGAGGAGATATGGACATTGTATGTTGGCAGACTTCGATGCATCGAAATTCACAATTCCCTCATACTTCGGCCGGTCTGTGGTAACCGCACAAGACCCCGGACTGGATATCTCTCAGAGGAGCTGCATCGGGCTCTTGGTTACAAACCGGCAGCACCGGTAGATACCTGAGGCTGACAAGTCTGCCGCGTCGCCAAGGGCCGAGGGGCAACTCCGGCTGAAGCTCTAGGCCCGTAGCGCCCTAAACCCCGAAGTTGCGGGCAGTTTGCTTGTTCAAGCCCACACCATACAAGGCCCTTGTGGCCTTCTTCGTGCGGACTCCTCCAGATCTTTTCTCGCGTGGCCGCGTCAAAATTGTTCCATCCCTCATTATGTCATCCAGCCGCTCCAGCATCTTTGAAATCAAACAAATCCAAGCCTCCGTGGACGATGATGTTGACGGGTACCTTACCAGAAGGCGGCTGTGCCGAACCCCGGCCATCATTATGTATGATTGATCCCTGCTACTGTAGATTTGCAACGCAACAAAGGCGGCTAAGTTATTTTGCCGCAGTGCGTTTCGGATAGGACGAACAAAACAGGTAGGTCAGTCATATCGTGGTAAGTCGGAGGTTTGCCAGAAATGTCACGCAATCAGCCATCCGATGCCACACAGGACAATCCAAATGCATGCAAATTGCACGATATAGAGCAATATCTCCTCCTGACTTGACGTTCTGATGCCTCCCTTCCAATTCACATTCCGTCAAACCACCAGATATCTTCCTCAGACCTGATCATTTCGACAAGACCAGAAATGTCATCACCGACTACTCATAACACTACCCGAACCCAGCGGCCCCATTCATCCTCCACATCATCCAAAGCCTCATCTACAAGTGCTTGCTCCGAGATGCACGACAAAATCACCAAACAAATGCGACTACAACAAGAAAAATGGGCCGTGTGGCAGAACAAGGAAATCGATCTGTATAGACACTCGGCGTCAGAAACAAGCATCAAGTCACGACGACCACATGTCCACCTTGACAAGATAGCATCCACCCTGAGGCGGATTCGTGGATGAGGCAGAGATCCCGCTTTGCCACCAGGTACGATACGAAACGACACGACATGCATCAGCGCGTGAGATCAAAGTGGATGTGCTCCGCGTTGGCCGCGCCTGACAAAGCGATATTCTAGAAGTTCTCCCTCCAAGGCCTTGAGTTGCGCCAATCGGACTACAACGGACAATACCGTGCCCCAATTTGACGCGCTACACTGATTGTGTATGCCTTGCTCAGAAGTTGTCTGCCATGAGCAGAGTTTGGCTCCGGAGAATATCTTTGCTGCCTGGGAGAGTGGTTGCAAGGAAGGCCTTCCAGCACCACACCGGATTTCAGCGACCATGATCGACGATCTCGCTCAAATACCAGGACCATAGTGCTGGCTGACCACGGCACGTCTTCGTAATAGCTCACCTTTGGCTCCTGACGGCCGCCTGTGAACACAAACAGTGAATATTTCTATCAAGTAGCAAGTAGCTGCTTTGAGATATGCATATAGGCATTAGTAGATGCCACTGGGATTATGAATCGAATCGTCAAGTGAGTATGGTGCTATGTTTTCCGAGTGTCTATTTCTTTCTGCGTCATCGCTACGGCAGCCCTTCTCATATCTCCGTGATTAGCGCGACTCACCAGGGCTGTGAGGTCGTAGTAACATCGCCCTAGAGCACGTGCCCTGTCACAGATATTAGATCTTTAAGCGGCGCATCCTACCTAGGGCAGGATTTTAGACGTCATCACCGCAAATCGCCATCGTCGTTGGCCAAAAGAGCGTTTGTAGAGACCAGCGATGGTTCATGGGTATTCGTCATTGCGCTGCCCATGAGAGTCATCAAAGAAGGCCCTCGATCCTCTGGATGCTCGGGTTCATCATCGGCGCCTGCCGTCCTTAAGCAGGCTCCTTCAAAAGCTTGGTAAACCTTAATTCGGTCGCCAAGTCAAACTGTCACTGAGTTAACCTCGCTGCAACATTTTGCTCCAGGACTTCAGGCTGTAAATCTTATGACCCTCACCGTTAGTATGAGAATTGTACGGAGGCTAGCTTGGGCTGAATCAAATAATGTAACTTTTCAAACATGCTCGGCTCCACGTGGTAGCCAGGGCGCTCTCACCAGCGAGAGTTCCGCGCGGGTGATTGTGCGTGGAGGGACGCTGCACCTGATACAACGACTCGGATATCCCGAAATAGGTGAAACCGCTGACGGGAAATGTACTCCTATCGTGGTTCTCTGGTAGGGTTAATCAAGATCTGAAAGTCTAACAAGTCCGTTATCTTGAAGAAAGGCAGAGTTATAGACGAATTGCGGTACATGCCCCGAGGTTCTACACACGCAGTTGGTAGTCAGGGTCCCGCTTCGAGGCGCTAATTGTCCAAGCTTGATAAGGCTTTTTAGGGCTCGCCTTAGCTGGAGCGAAGAGGGGAAGCTACTGAAAGTGCCACCATGAAAGCGGAGCTATCGATGCTCTTATTCTCCAGGCATGCCAACACCAGGCCGGGCGAGTACGAGTCCTTGCCTTCCGTCGATATACGGAGTATGTGCTCGTAAGCTTTACTATGGCAGGCAGGAGCAGGGAATAACGCTGCTTATTGGGTTAGCATGCTTCGGCAGACCTTCTAAACAAAGCCTAGCCAAAGTCCCTCCTCTCGTCCTTCTGTCATGGTCTCCCACCTCTTCTCTCCGCCCAGCAGATCTTCTCACTCAGCAGCCACTAAGCGAGCAGACTGTGGACAAGGATCACCCTCGCTGATAAGGAGCTTGTTCGAGTCAAGGCCAACTTCTTGTCGAACCCTATCTCGAATGGACCTCGACCAACGACTTCTCTCAAGCGCAAAACTCCGCTGTTGTCTGCGGTCCAGTGGTAGGTTGTTTCAGGTAAGTGAAGCGACCCTAACCCAAGTGGGCTGGGACTTGATGTGCATACCAGGATGTATATCTATATGGCTACGTCCCTACTGAAAGGTTAGCTAACGTGTTTGTTTCCCTGCCTTTCTCGCTCATTGCCAACCTTGACCTTGTTCGACGTCTCGCAGCCATGGCGTCACCCATCGAGAAAGTCCCAACCGCTTCGGACGGCAAACCACCCTCTGATCCTCCATCCGATGCCACCTCCGTCCAAGTAGGTGCCGTCGGTGGACTCATTCTTACCCAAGACGAATTCCATCTGGCTACCCTCGGCTACAAACAAGAATTCATTCGCTCCCTTGGATTTTTTCACTCATGGGCGGCCACATTCAGCACGATGAATTTCATCTCAGGTATACCAGTTCTCTTTGGGTTCGTCATGTACACTGGTGGCCCCAAAGCGGCTTTTGCCAACTGGACCATGGTCGGCGGCTTCTCGTGTATTGTCAGCCTCGTGATGGCAGAGCTTGGGGCGAGTTTACCCACAACAGGTGGCATATATTTCTGGAGTTACAGACTCGGAGGCGAAAAGTATGGTCCATTTCTCAGCTGGATGACTGCGTGGTGGAACTTTGCTGGGTGGATATCGGTCGTTCCAGGTGTTCAACAAGGAGCAACCAATTTCCTCATCTCGGCGCTTCAGATAAAGTACCCAGACACGGAGGTCCTATACAAAGGCTGGTTTTCCTGGCTGCTGACCAGTATCGGCCTCATTTTTGCCATGATCCCCAACATCTACAGTCCGAGGCTGCTCCGGCTATACTTTCGTTTTGCTATCTTCATCTTCTTCTCCTTGTTCTTCCTCTATTGGACCTGGTTCCCAATAAAGGCAAGTCAACAACATTTCAACACCAGCTATGGAGTATTTGGGCTTTTTTATAATGGCATCAACTTGGGAGAGACAAAGGAGGCCTCAGATGCCTACTGCTGGTAACTTGCCCTGCTGCGACTTTGCCGTTATTTCTCAAGAGCAGCGCTGAGTACTTTTGACAGGGTTATTTCTGTGCTCTTTGGTGCTTGGGTCTTCTACGGATATGATGCCAGTGCTCATCTTTCTGAGGAAACCAAACAAGCCTCCGTCGTTGTCGCCCGAGGAATGTGGGTATCGGCAGTCTCATCGTGGCTGTTGTCCGTCCCAACTCTCATCATCATCCTCTTCTGCATTCAGAACTTCGACGGAATAATTGCAGCAACATATGCAAACAATTGGGCTGAATACCTTATTCAATTGATAGGCGAGAATGGTGCAGTTGCCATCCTAGCGATCCTCTGGGTTGACAGCACTTGTGCCACGGCGAGTTGCTTTCTCTCGGCTCAGCGAGTGACCTACGCCATCTCACGCGACCACGTCCTTCCATTTGGTTGGTTCTTCCGCAAGTTGTCTTCTCGCAAGATGGCTGTCAATGCTGCTTTGCTGGTCTACGTGACCAGCGTGGCGATCACGACGGCCGTCATTGGCTCTACCGTGGCTTTCTCTGCGATCACCGCCACCGCCACTATCAGTACCAACTTCAGCTACCTCATCCCCATCGTTGCACGGCAGACCGTCGGAAGGAAGGATTTTGTGCCAGGCAAGTGGAACCTAGGCAAATTTTCTCTCCCACTGTCCATCATTGCGACGATTTGGATCATGTTTCTCTTTGTGGTTTTACTACTGCCTCAACTGTATCCTGTTGATCACAACACGCTCAACTATGCTCCCATCTGTATCGGAATCGTGAGCATAATCAGCCTGGTAGGGTGGTTCTTTCCCAAGTGGGGTGCCATGAACTGGTTTGAAGGGCCGATAAAGACCATCACCGAGCAAGAGTTGAGAGGAGCAAAGATTGATGGTGGCGAAGCCACTGTGGAAGAGGGCGATGCGATGCAAAACATGACCTTTGGGCATCGAAAGAGTGTTGCTGAGTAGTTGGAGAGTGAGGGACAAGGACGGATAGATGAGACTACTCCGAGTATGCTGAAGTCGACGCAGCTCTTACATATGTTCATTCAATCGCGCAAGCGTGTAATCACCTACAGTTTCTGCCTCTGCCATTTCCTCCCAGCCGCATCCAATGCATTCTCTCCATCCACTAGGACACACCAGCCTTCCCCACCGACAGTGCCGTCCTCGAAGCCACCAACGGCACTTTCAAAGTTCTCCTTGGCGAACTTCAGATCCTCGTCCTCAAAGCTGCCTGGCTGAAACCAGACGGCCTTGATACCTGCTGCTTTGGCCTCCTGCAACAATTTCCGCGTGACTGGCGGGGGCGTAATAATCGACAAGGCCGTCTGTGCCGGATTTGAAAGAGAGGCCACGTTGGAGACTGTGTCGTAAGTCTTTGACGGAACGGAAATGGAGGGCCGAGATGGATTAAGCGGCACCACAGGTAGCGAGTGTTGATGATACCACGCAAAGACTGGATGAAGAAAATACTGGTGAGATCGGGCTTGGAAAACAAACAACAGAGACACTTTGGGGGCCATAAATGGCGATCCTACTTTTATAGCCGAACTTGGCCTTATCCTGACTGGCACCGGCCACGGCGAACGTGGGTGTGGCGAAGAAGCGCTTCGCAGCTGCGTCCATAGCCATGGTAGTAGAATGCTTGCACAAATGTGAGCGTTTTCGACTGCTCGGGGTAGTTATTTGGGTGGATGGACTTATAGTGATGAAAATAGTCTCATGCCTGCATGAGAGTGAAATCCCAGTCGATGTTTTTTGGTCGAATTGTTAGCCGCTTGCAAGATGCCTCGGCGAATGTTGAGCACGTCAGGGGGAGAGGAAATGAGGGATATAGATCTCGCATGTGTGAGGAATGGGTTGGGGGCTTGCATGCGGTTAAGACCATGCATAGACCGAAGGGACTCACAGGGCTCTTACCGCCTCTACACATGGCCCTCGGCCCCCCCTTGGATGAATCGGTCGCCTAGGGCCCCTAGGAGATGACCCTTGAGTATCCCGAGTACAACCACTAGGTACTCGACTACCCGCTACTTTGCAGCCAAAAACATCGCCTTTCTGCCAATGACGAACTACTGCCACAACAATCTTGGCAAGGCAGACTCCGTGTGGCTGCTGTGGCTTCGCCGTGGCTTTTGTATTGTGATACGTGCACCCTCGGTACGTGCCTCCACTTCCCCCCTACCGCAACTTACTGTGCCACGGTGGGAGGCCTGACACAGTCATGCCCGGAAAATAACCCCGCTCCCAGCCTAAAGCACCGCAACCATCGCCAGGACAGTTCTAATCATGGGCAATCAACCCCCGCCAGACAGCTGGTCAGAGTACTCGTTGGATGGTGGATAAGCGGGCTGAAGGACCCCCTTGGCCCTAAACCAAATGACTGCAGCATGACACCAAACACCCGCCCACCTCCCAATCCCACGCGGCACAGTCACTGGGCCCTCTGGCAAAGACTCGTAGCCTGGTCTGCATTATTGAACACCTGTGAGTTCTGACGATTCATCAAAATAGCATTGCTCGCTCCCTTAACGACCCAGACTCTGGCTGCCTCAGTCACGAGTCTTGATTTCCTTGCAAATGGTCCCAGTGCATGCTTGACACCTCTAAGACAAATCCCATTTATTTCGCACAGACGTCCATTGGAGAACCAAAGACCCAGATCGACAGTTGTCACTCGAAACCCATCATCATGGCTGCTCTTCCCTACCGTCCCCAAACCCGTCGACACCACGACGTCCCTTCTCGGTCCAGTATCAATGACGAATCTGCAGACGACTTCAGGCCCGTTCAGCAACATCTCCCTCCATGGCAACCATCTCAACTTGGAGACTCGTCCACTGCCCTCCATCCCGACGTCCTGCACAAGACCCAGACTCTAGGCTATCCTAATCACTCGGCCGGGCATCCTGACACTCTTCTATCTGCACCCCTCCCACGACCTCTCAACAGAGCTTCAAGTTTCGAGTCTTTATCAACGTTACACCGCCAACAAGAGGCTGCGGCTTTGAGTCTCTACAGAGACTCGCCTATATCAGCGATTGGGAGGCCCTTGGTCTCCGGCCCCGATTTGACTTACGAACTACCCCATCGGAGGCAGTCATGGCATACAGCCACCTTTGAACAGCAGGCGAGACAACAAAAGTTGATCAAGAAGTCTCTGAAGAAGGAACAGAAGGACAGAGTTCGTGCTTTGAAAGATGCTGAGAAGCAGCGCCGCGCTTTCCTCGTCGCCGAGGTCGCGGCTGCTCGCAGGACCCATGGGGTTTCCCGCGCCAACTCAGATCCAACAAAACCGAGGACTGCAAAAATGTTTGCGGCGGACATGGTCCAGAAATTGAATCTAAACCGCTCTCTCAGCCTGAAACGTCCCTTTCAGAAAGGTAACAGAAATTCAGGCAAACATGGATCAAAGTCGAACTCAGTCCCCACCACACTCGAGCACTGCACCAACAAGGAGGAGGTGCGACAGTACTTCAACTCCTTACAGCCTCGGGCAGAGACAGCAGGACTCCCCGCCGAACTCCCCGCCGAACTGCCGCAATATACCAAATTCCAGGACGATACGTCAACACAGGACAACAAACCGTTGACTTTGGTCGATGATATACCTAAGCCTACTTCAAGGACAACCCCTGCACACAATCAAGAACATCCTAATCTCCAGACAACTCGAAGAACCACCACAAGATGCATGCGCTGTGACAAATGTGACAATCCTATCCGCCAGAATCAGGTTTACTACCATTGTTCAATTTGCAATGATGGCGACCGTATGTTGTGCCATTCTTGCGATCGAGCTGGAGAAAGCTGTAGGCATCCCCTTGCAGAGATTGTCAGGAGCGTTTCGAAGGCGCAACCAAACTCTACGAGCGCCAGAGGACAATCGGCCGTGCGACAGTCATCGGCTTCCAGACGAAGCGGTCCGGACGCTGTTATCGAAGCTTCCAGTTCGGCTGGAGTATATTCTACACATCTTGATATGGTAGAAGACGAACACCAGAAGCCAGCACTCAATCGAACCAAAGACCTTCGTGAAGATAACGAAGAGCATGAGCTTGAACTCCGTCGTCGTGAGCAAGACGTCGTGTATCGAGAAAGAGACGTTGTGCTTCGCGAGCGGTCTGCAGCTCTCCGAGAACAACAGGCTTCGCTGCGCGAACAGGAGTCAGCATTGTCAGCCAGACAACAGGCTTTCAATCTGCAACTACAGGCCGCTCTAGCCCAAACGATACCCGAGGCTGCGACCGGAGTTGGTGCTCAATTCCCAGACTGGGAGTCAAGCTCAGCTGTTAGGATGCACGCAAACAAACGGAAATCCCGTGGGGCAAGCAACACCATCACTCGTGATTCTTCGTCCAGTTCAAATCAAAAATCCTCGCTTAGAGGAGTGCCGCCTCCGAACGACGAGGACGAAAATGGACAAGAAGAAAATGGATCCGGTTCTCCCAAGAAGATCAAACAGGACCCAGATGCCTCTCTTTCACCGGAAAAATTGTTTGCGTGCCCCTATTGCAAATATGACAAGTCAAGGTATTCTGAGGCAAACTTTCAAGAGAAACACTATCGGGGCTGTGCAAGTGGCTTCTGGAAGGATCCGTCGAGACTGAAGCAACATCTCTATCGTGTTCACTGTCGTCGATTACAGTGTCCTCGTTGTTGGAGTAAGTTTGACAACAAGGATGACCTGGATCGACATATGTTGGAACCCACTGCCTGTCCCCTCGCGGAATGCCCCTGTCCCGAAAAGTTTGGTGACGCAGAGTTCATTGAAATCCACCGCAAAAGACCTGCAATGAGCTCTGAGGATGTGTGGTTCACCATTTATGGCATCTTATTTCCAGGCCAGCCATTACCGAGCAGTCCCTACGCCGAAAAGGACGATGTTGCAACTCCTGCTGCCCCGACCCCTACATCACCAGACTGGCGAGACACACTTGAAAACTTCCGCCATCAACTTGAGGCCCGTCTTGATCAACAAGCCACGCCAATCGGCGAGGATGTCCGCCAGGTCATTCGAGACACCATGCAAGATATGCTAAGGCAGCTGACACCCACGACTGGACCTTCTCCAGCCTTTTCATACAGTGCGGCCCCTGTCTCTACCTCCGGTCGACGTAGCTCCATATCGCTGACTCCTTACTCCTCCACGCCGCCCTCTCCTGGGGATGGGTTTGGATTAGGGGCCGGCGACATGATGAATATCGAGCAATTAGGCTCTCCGCATACGGCTGCCTTCTCAGCACTACCTATTTCGACTCTACATGAAAAGGAGACCACGACCATTGCCAACAACCCATCCCTTTGGCCTCATGATCACCAAAACTTTAACGCGGTACTCCCATCGAGCTCCACAAAACATGATGGGCCTACTGCATCAAGCCACCGGGCGAGAGCACCCACAGGCCGACAGCCTCACTTCCTGATTACAGACTTTGGACGTGCAGCTGCCAAGCCTGGCATGGCCGGCCCAGAGGATGATCAGTGTAGTGATGAATGTCACAGCTGGAGTCATGGTGATGAGCTGGGCCTTGCAGTCCCGACAGGAGAGAACACAGACCGGATATGCCAAGCTTCACCAGCCAATGATGCCTGGAGCCAAATGCCGTTCTGGTCCGTTTCCGCTTCGACCAATTCTCTGGTGAAGTTTACGCAAGGAACAGACATGGGCAGCGGCAATTCTATGTTACAGCCTCTTGATGGTGTGGGTCAAGGGAAGGGCGCCCAAAGGGTGAATCTTAAATCATCTCCGAAAAGGACAAGAAAACCCCAGTCACAACCATTCGATGGGGTCAAAGATGCGCAGTCGAATGCAACAGCCGCAGAAATCACATCTACAACGACTCCTGCAGATAGCATCACTTGCCCACCGAGACCGAAAGTGAGACTTAATCACTCTACCACCGCGTCTCTCGACTCAGGGTATGGGAGCATGAGTCGTCGCGCTCAAAACACGTCATCAAAGACTCGAAGTTTTGGACCATCGAGAACAGAGGAAGCGGATTTCGTCATTCAAGACCCAGGAATGATTAAATCTGACGATATCCCAAGTTTGCCCAGTCCCGTCTCTGACTCGGACATGAACCTCGACGCACTGGATATTCCCTATCAGCAGCATCTCGGTGAGGGTCTAGACATGGAACCGGACGATTGTGGCAATATTGGTGGACAGTGGCTTTCTGAGTATCCCAGTGCTCGACTGCCTGCTTTGACAAATGATCATTGGATGGATCCTGTGTCCCCTAGCTAATGGGGATATCCGTTCTCAAATCTGGAGGGCACCAACTGGATCAAGTAGTGAAGACCGGGTGCTCATTGTGAGGACTGTTGAGTCTACCGCGTGCGGGGTTCCCTTGCATCTGGGAGGGAGTCATAGGTAACACCAGGTGTCCATGCAGCAGGTGAAATCCCGCAGAGGTTATAATCCTGGTAATGAGGAACAGTCATGGGCAGAAATGTCTGGAACAATACTATCAATCACGTGATGGTTTCTTAATGAGTTGTTAGTACCTCCAGCATCTTATGTAGACAGACTAAGTTATTGTACTTCTTGTGGAAATGGAAAAAGGACATGACTTCAGCACACGAAAATGATTTATTCTTTCATTTAATTCCAAGACGATGTAGCGTCATACAGAGTGCGCCGTGCCCTAAAAGACAGGCATGCGACTACCTGACATGGGCTATGGATGAGACGTTTCTTTATAATTCGTCCCTCACCTGGGTTGTAGTCGTTGTGCTGCTGGTAGTGGCAGAGCTCTCTACCGAACTTGTTGTTGTCTCACTACCAGTCGATGTTGACGACTTGCTCTTCTTCGTCTTGCTAGACTTGACCTTCTTGGCACTAGCCTTTAGTTTCTGCGAGTTCTGCTGCTTCATCCGGATGGCCTTCATGGCCATATCTGCCGATACTCTTTGGACTTCATCTCCTTTTGCTTCCAAGTCCGATGTCAGGACCACCGGATCATCGTAGGGACCTAGTTTCTCCTGCGCGGCTAATTTCTCCTCTAGCCAGGACTTGACTTTTTCGTATTTGTTGGTCAATGACTTGAGATCCTCTTCTGAGTATTCTACCGGCATGATTACAGGTGCCGTTTCCTTGGGTTCCGATGCAGAGCTTGTACGGTAAGGGTCGTCCTCGAGGTCGTCCTCAGAAGCAGGGTCGGATGATACGGTGGTCGAAGAGCTTGAAGATGAAGCAGCTTCCGCTAAAGAACTGGAGATTGAGGCCGCACTTTCTGCGGCTTGCTCAATGCGTTCCTTGACATTCTTGGCCATTCCTGACAAGGTCTCTAGCTTCGCCTGTAGCTCTTTCACGGCTTTGGGCCGCTTGTTGGCTTCGTCTGTGCGTTTGAGTACTGGATCCACGAGTGCTTTGAGTGCCTTCAACCGCGCCTTGAACTCTCCTATTTTGGCATCGGAGCCTTCGCCGTAAAGCCAGTCCGAAGTTTCTGAAATCAAAGCCTCAATTTCATTCCGAGTCTTCTCACTCGAGGCTGAAATAAAACTCACATCGTCAAGGTAATCTCGCGCGCGATATGTAAAGGCTTCCAGGGTGTTGAGAGCTTCGGCGAGAAGTGCCGAGTTTCGATCAGAAACATCGAATTGGTCTAGTCTTCCGCGCAGTTTGGAAAGAGATGCCGAGGGAGGTGCATTGAGGCCAACAGTCGTAGCTCGGAGTGCCAAGGGGATGGAGATTGTTGAAGATGTGGGTTTCGCAGCTTGTGAAGCTTTGCTCGATGCGGTAGAAGATGAATCCGACTGGCCAGAAGACTTGGATGTTGAAGGAGTCACAGTCGATCCAGAGCTTGTCGGGTCGGAGACTGGCAGAGGTGTTAAAGGAAGATCTTCAGTCTCTGTATCCTCAAGAACCTTTTGTTCGTCCTCCTTCTTCGCACCGAATCCAAAAAGGCCCTTGACGTTGTCAATAACACCGCCGGCCTTTCCCCCGTCAGTTTGGCAGCTGACAGCCCCTGAGATAACCTCAGGTATGCCGTTGACTGTGCTCAAGCGGATGTTGAAGACGGTAGTGATGTTTGCGGCACCACATCCGTACTTGTCTTTCAATTGTGCCACCGATTTCGTCAAATTCGTTGCTGCAACGTCAAGAATGCCAACTTCTTCCTCCCCAACAAGTTGGTGAAATGAGAGCGTCAAATCATCCAAAGCCTTGACGGGGACCTGCTTCTCCGACCCAATATGAGAAGACGAGGTGAAGAGTTTCTGCGACCTTTCCTTCCCTTCGGATGACCATTTCAAAGTGATTGGTGAGCCTGAAATATCGGTGTCTCGAATGTCCTTGACCCTGAAGCTTGGGCTCAAAGCGGCTGCCTTGAAACCTGCACCCATCGCTGCCGCTTCATCTGCATTGACATTTGATTTGAGTTTTGCTGCATCGCCGACAATCTTTTCGAGCTCTTTCTGCACAAAAGGCGTCCGAACTAGGCCGCCGTGCAAGATGATCGAGTCGAGGTCGTTCAAGCCCAAACCCGCCGCGTCAAGAGCCGCCAGAATTGGTGGCTCAATGCGATTGGCATGGCTTGCCGCCAATTCCTCAAACTTTTCTCTTGTCAGGCTGTACTTGAAATTAATCTCATCATCGTACAGGCCTTCGAAGCTTGCAGATGCAACAGCGTTAGCGCTGAGTAGTTGCCGCATACGCTCGGCATCTTTCCAGAGTCTTGCAGCAGTCTTTCCATGCGATTTGATTGTTGCCGCTCCTAGTCCAAGCTTTTGAATTTTGGGACTTTCCAAAAATTGATTCACCATGTCATCCACAATGAGATCGTTAAGTGAATCGCCGCCAAGAGTTCTGTCATAGCCAGTCCCAAGCACAATCACCTCCTGAATGGTCTGATTTCGCTTGGCTGGGCCTTTGATCGTCCTTCCTTGGAATTTGAGGACGGTCGCTGTCGCTGAGCCAGCGCCGACGTCGTAAACCAAATGGTGTTCAGGCTTGGCACCATCTGAAACACTGTCAAATGTCCTATGTGTGGCATAATTCAAGCCAACTGCTAGGCCATCACTAACCAGACCAAGGACTCGTAACCCGGCAAGGTCAGCTGCCAGTTCTACAGCTCGCCTCTCTTCGGCGGTGTAGAAGGATGGGACAGTGATTACCACGTCTGTAACAAAAGTGCCCTGTACAACCGCAGCCTCTGCATTTGCTCGGACATTTTTGAATTCCATCGCCAATAGTTCTTCAACCATGAAGACTTGACTATCACTATCCTTATTGCTGGAAAAACTCTTGCTTTTGAATCCAACCGTGCCACCCACAGCGTCGGCACCCGCACGCGGGATTGTTTTGATGCTGAGCCCTGGATATCGGGCACTATACCCCTGAACGAGACTTGAGGATGCGTCCAGCCCAAGAAGAGTTTTCAGATTTGGGTAGACGTCTGAGGGAAACCGTGCAGCGAGTGCAACAGCGTCCCCGCCATATAATCTTTCTGGAAAAGCGTCGGGGTCATTGTTCTGTGCCCGGGATGGCTTGAAGGCGAGGGTGGCGGCTTCTCTTCTTTTTGAGTCTTTCGAAAGAACAATATCTATAGGGCTACCGGGCTTCGCGATTGCTGCTTTGAAGTACTCGGTTCCCAGGTCGATGCCCAAAACAGCGGAGGCAGCATGTGTGCCAGTCGTAAGGAATAGGAGGATCAAAAGGGGGAGAAGAGAGAGGAGGCTCGTTTTCCGACGTCCTGGAGGTGTCATGTTGTTCGATTCCTAGGAACAGGTTTTTAGACGAGGGACAAAGCCGCAAGATGTTCTGGTTGAGGGTTGAGACTCTAATGGTAGCTGATAATCAGAGGTGACTGTATGAATGGTCAGTAGGACACGTCGTGGCTTCATAAGAATTCAATCATCGCGGGTTTAAAAAGTAGCCCAAGACCAGTAGGCCGAGGAAGTATGTGAAGAGAACAACAGTGTCTAGTCAATCATGACACCGTCTTCGTTTTGATACCATCAAACGATGAGAACAACTTGTCCCCTTGACTTTTGAAACAGAGAATCAACCAATTACGTCAGCCTTGTTCCTGCCAAGCCGCAGGAATAGAACAGAGGAATATTGAGACCAAAAGCGCAGAAGCACAAAGACCCGAATGGCATTATGCTCGATATCACGTGAAAGGCTGACTACCATATCGTTCTTTCGCTGCAATACTTCTTTGAATCTGGTCCTCACATTCAATGCTGGGCAACTAAAGTCAAGTCGATGGTCAGTTTCGGGGTATTGTACCCTAAGAATGTATTGACAAGTGCAATCTAGCCCGAAACCACCAAGCTCAGTTAAGACATGAGACCAAGGCACAATGCGAGAAATCCTCACACTCCAGTTTGGTCAGCGAAGTAATTATCTTGCTACTCACTTCTGGAACACCCAGGTATTGCAAGGGAGACATCTATATATCACGGGTGAAATTAACTAGTCTCACAGGAATCTTACTTCACATACTCGGACGATCAAGAGCCTCCTGTCGACCACGATGTCCATTTTCGCGCTGGCCTTGGGGCCGACAACTCGGAAACATTTACTCCCAGGACGGTGATATACGACTTGAAAGGTGGATTTGGTTCATTACGCAAGTACAACGCCTTGTACCAGATAGAACCAGATCCAGCTGAGGCCCAAGGGTCATGGTATGCACAATTAGGAAACCCCATCTCAAGGCGATGCATGACTAAAGGCCAACAGGGATGGGTCTACGACTCGACAGCAACTACCAATAATCGAGACATCGCAGTATCAGACAAATCTCGATCTGGGTCTCCCCAATCAGCAATTGCAGGAGACCGATGTCAGATATTGGTCGGACTTCAACCGCGTCTACTTCCACCCGCGCTCCATCGTCCAGTTGAACGAATATGAACTCCAGTCGCAGCTTATGCCTTTTGAAAAGTGGTCTTCTGGAGAAGAGCTCTTTGAAAACCTAGATCGAGAATTTGATCTCATTGATCGGGATGTTCGACCATTTGTCGAAGAAGCCGACCATATGCAGGGTTTCCAAATATTTTCTGGGATTGACGATGCATGGGGAGGGTTCGCGGGACGATATTTGGATGCGCTTCGAGATGAGTATGGGAAGACGAGCATTTGGGTTTGGGGAATTGAGGATAAGTCGACCGTAACACGAGTAAGGTCCAGAAGATCCCTCCCCTGGGAGTATGACTAACTTGCAGGTAGCAAAAGAAACAGCTGCGAGCTTGCAACACGGTGAGGTCCATATGCTCCATGGGACAGCAAGCTTCAATGCTTACACGACTTGCTACTCCTCCATCGCACCTCCCTGGGTATGTCCATTTGGGGAACGGATCAGACTGGACAACTTCTGCATTGCTGTGTGCAGGCCTTGAATCCATCACCCTGCCAACTCGATTCGGCGCTGGAGCTCCCAAGAGAAGTAATTTGAGCTTTCTTGAAGACACATTAAACACTAATGGCAACCAAAATTTATTCGAGCTTCAGGCGACCATTACCAACACACAACCCAACCCAAACTCACCACAGAATGGAAACCGCCCTGCACCACCCAATCCAAGTAACCAAGAGGCCCAGCAGGATGCATTTCCGGAACCTTCGCACTTAGACATTCACTACTCGCCGGCAGTCGAAGAGAGTTCGGCGGCACAACGATCCCATGTGTTTGCACAGATAGAATGCGATCGCGACAGGCTTGAGTCCAGTAGCCGGACTGCGACCCTTACACCGGATGAACGGTTACGGCGACGACTAAACGAGGAAAGTGTGGTTGAAGTGTGAGTTGAAAACCTATTTTGCCTTGACCATGATTTGTCGGTTTCCATTGTGTCATGCAGCCTTTACAATCACCTCATTGAGGAAGAGGAGCCGGGATGAGATCTTTCACACTAACGTCCGCGTAGCTTTCAAACCGGTCTCCAGTTCCCACTGCTGGATAGCTTCCCGAGCCGACTCTTCCAGACCAGCCCGCAAGACAACAGCCACGGACTGGATATTGTGGCTGCCCTCACCTGTACCTCGAAAATGCAACATAAGCTTCTAGATCTCAGAAATGAGACATTTCGGCTAATAGCCTTGGACGAGCGCGAAGCTGTTTACAATGATCTCACCCAGCTGTCACAAAATTACAGTATTGGGTGGGACAGTGGATCAGATTCTGGTGATGACGATCAAGGGTAAAAGATAACTTTCACAGATAAAAACAAAACAAATCTGGCGTGGAGTAAAACCGGGCGGTCGACCAGGTGAAGGCGAAGGCCGAAGGGACTACTCCGTACAGTCGGGCACACGTGTGATGCCAAAATGCCAATACCATGGCAGGTTCCGAACCGAGTCGTTTTACTCTTGGAAGGATCACCTGAACAAGTTTTGGCGAGACGTCGGCTTGTGCCTTGTTGGCGTGCCTTGGATTGTGGTGTCCCTCCCCAAGTGCTAGGAACCAAGTACACAAATCCTCCACAACTTGTTCGAATATTGGGAATTATTGTCTATGGCTCATATGCATCCATCATTCCATAATGCTCTTACGAGAGAAAATAATGTGTCTTAGATCGAAGTAGTAGAATCGCATGGAATGCTATTATTGGCTTGTCGCCTAGTCCACAATGGATCCGGATGACAATAGGATGTCTACCTTGCAGTACCAAGTACTTCCTACCGGGTCGAAGGTACGATGGTACCTAGCGATGAGCCCCTCCATGGCGGGGAACACCGTGCGAGCTCGTAAGTCCACCTGTGGAGCTGGTATGGGCAACACAGGCTTTATAGACGCACAGTGGAGTCGTTTAGCAGTGAGCGCAACCACTAGCAAAAGACACCCACAGCTCTGGACCATCAAAAAATTGTAGTCAACAGCTCCCAGGCGAGAGCATGCCCAATGATGGAGCCATCCGAGGGCTTCAAGCCTATAAGGTGGTCCCTCGATCGCCAGTGTTGTCGATAAGGACGCCTATCGCAGGCCCTAGTGGTGCCAATCGCTGGCTCGATGACGATGGCGAAATCCAAACGCCACTGACTCACGCCCAGTATTCCCGACCATGTTTGTTTTTTTATTGACTAACCTTCAATAGTTCGCTTGATTCGGATCCTCGGTGGACCACTGAGGCAAAAACCTGGAGCCCAGCAAAGTCCTGGGTGGCTGCAAAGTCGGCTGTACTCCGTATGTCTGTACTGGCCACCCACATCCACTACCAAACCATGTCATCTACCTTGCATCGCTGCGTCTAGATGGTCAATAATAGTGGTTATAAGCAGCCACCAGGTTGGATCACGAGGATCACGAGGACCCTTTCCCACGAGTGCGCACGAACGATACTACTCCGTACACAGAACCAGCGGGGGAGCACCTGGGAGCGAAGGACAAAGGATGCGTAAATGCTCCCAGTGGTTGGCTCGGATGCAGGATTTTGGAGCTAAAGCTGCATGTCTCAACTTGGACCAAATGTCTCACCAGGAACGCCATCGTCATTGGGTCCAAGGCAGAGACAAGCTTCTCTCTGCAGGCTGATCGAGTTGGCCTTCGGCGATTTTCTGTAGACCAAGGATGCTCTTCCAGAGTTCAAGCCACTTGACAGTGCCTGATCCCAAGCTTCCCTCCCGCTAAAACGGGTGTGCAGAAACCCAAGCTTGCCTGCATGAGCGCATCAGCAAGCTCTGTTTGCCTTTGAGATTTCTTCCACGCCTGTCCCAGAGCTTCTATTGACTCAACGGCTGGTCCGCTTGGATCGCCTGGATCCAAGGTCATCGTCACGCGCACCCGCTGACTCAAACGACCAACCGTCATCGTTGCCACTGGTTAGTGCCGTAGGTTGTCATCGAGATCCTTCGCCCGTCCAAAGCAATAGCAAGCCCTTGTTCACCAATAAATCCCAGCCCACTGTTCGGAAGGAAGCTCCATAGTTGCTGCATGATCCGTACAGCTTTCTACGGAGTATTGGATGACCAACAAGACAGTAGGCAAAAGCTTCCCTCGTTTGGACATCCCTCTCCGAGGATTTCCCCATCAGTGCACGGCGGCTATAGCTTGGATGGCAGTTTGCCCTGACAGAATGAGGATAGACTTTTTCGATCCACTAGTACTCCGTTGGTGGGTACCGGTTCTCCCGAGAGAGGCGAGTGTGCTAACAGTGCTAGGTATTATTGTTGCTATTCCGGGCGCCAGTATTGGAGCTTGGACTCCATGTTGGCCAGTGTGTGGCGGGTGTCCCAACGCTTTATCGACTTATGCAACCACTATATTCCAATGATCCATTTATCGATATGATAGAAGCGTGGGCAGCATGTGGTAGGTGCTGATGGCCAGCGCATATGCGTACATGCACCGAGGCGTTCTTGGTCTCATGGAAAGCTTCCGAATACGCAGGCAGGCTGCCAATCGCACATCGACGGTAAGGCCACTGGTCAACCTGGTCAGGCTGCTGGGCTGCCATGACTGACCACGACAGGAATATCGAATAGAGTTGAGGCAGAGATGTTGCGCTAGACTGGGATTCCCCACCCACCATGAACCTCGTGTCAAGGCTCACAGCCCGCAATTGTGGGCGAAAAACCTGCTACTACCTGGTCTTGGGTCATGGATGCTCCATCGAATACTACTCCATCTCAGCCCACTATGACAACATACCTCTGCATATTTTCAGGAACAGGTAACGTTGCGCGGGACATGCAATGCGCCCGACGGCTTCCTCAGCAAGGTTTTTCCACTTCCAATAGATCAACATGTTTTTGCGCCAGCTACTCTCAGTTCCCAGAATATACAAAATCCTCGCCTCCCATCCCTCTCCTCTTGATTCTTCTTCTCTCACGCATCCATCGCTTTGCTCCCTCGTTATTGCCAAGCATCAAAAGAGCTCCTTCGCTAAGGCTCTTCACACATTCGTTCTTCTCTACATACCCCAAGCCTTTCGACTTGTATAACACATATAGCCAACATGGTCCGATCATCTACCATCGTTTTGGCTGCTGCCACTTCCGCATCTGCCCTCGTCATCCGTGACGACTCCAGCAGCTCGTGGCTTGACTGGACCACCACCGCTGCTCCTGTCACCACAACCACCACCGTTGCTCCTACTACCACCACCACCGAGGCTCCCACTACCACCACCACTGAGTGGAACGACTGGACGACCACCACTACCACCACCGTCGCTCCTACTACCACCACCACCACCACCGAGTGGAACGACTGGACCACCACCACCACTGTTGCCCCTACTACTACCACCACCACCACCGGGTGGAACGACTGGACCACCACCACCACTGTTGCCCCTACTACTACCACCACCACCACCGGGTGGAACG